TACCTAAATATATGCTAAATTAAAGTAAAGTGCTTTAAGCCTGGCCTTGAATGTGGAGACCAACTGCTTCCTTAACATAAATGGGAAGCTGATTCCACAGAAAGGAGCTTGGTAGCTAAATGCTCTGCCACCAACAGTGACCTTGAGACCTTAGGGACCACCAGACGTCTGGCGTTTTGTGAGCGCAACGCTCGACCTGGTTGATACGACACTAACGTGTCTTGGAGATAAGATGAGCCAAGCCATTTATGGCTTTATATGTTAAGAGAAGGATTTTAAACTTTATTCTGTACTCCACAGGGAGCCAGTGGAGTGATTTTAACACCGGAGTTATGTGCTCCCTCCTTTTGGTACCTGTTAAGATCCTAGCTGCTGTATTCTGAACGAGCTGGAAGCTCTTCAAAGAGGCTTTAGGGCAACGCTGCCAGTAAAGCGTTACAGTAGTCGAGCCTTGAGGTGACAAACGCGTGAATGAGTTTTTCCGCGTCACTTTTAGGAAGGAAATTCCTAATTTTAGCGATGTTCCGTAAGTGGAAGTACGCCGTTTTAGTTGCTTGGCTTATATAAGCCTTGAAGGAGAGTTCTTGGTCAAAAATGACTCCAAGATTCCTCACAGTGTTACTGGGTATTATACTGACATTATCGAGAGTAACCATCTGGTTAGTGAGGGAGTCACGCAGGCGCTTCGGACCGAGTAGGATCACTTCTGTCTTCTCCGGGTTGAGAAGTAGGAAGTTAAGAGTCATCCACATTTTAAGGTCCTTTATGCAGGCACTGAGCTTTTCTAGCTGATCTGTCTGATTAGGCTTCATCGACAGATAAAGCTGTGTGTCATCTGCAGCAGTGGAAATTAATTCCATGCTTTTTTAATAATGTTTCCCAGTGGCAGCATGTAGAGAGTAAAAAGAATCGGTCCGAGTACCGAACCCTGCGGCACACCGAATTCCACTCCAGAATAAGGCGACGAGTCCTGATTCACATTGACGAAGTGATATCGATCTGATAAATAGGATTTAAACCAGCCAAGGGCTGTTCCTCTAAGACCTATATCACATTCTAGCCTCTGCAGTAGAATGCTGTGGTCTATTGTGTCAAATGCAGCACTAAGGTCCAGTAGGACCAGCACTGACACTTGTCCATTATCGGCAGCTAGTAGTAAGTCATTTGTGACTTTGACTAGTGCCGTTTCAGTGCTATGATGAGCTCTGAATCCTGATTGAAAGACTTCAAACATATCATTTTCCTGCAGGTGGCAGCGGAGCTGCTCAGCTATAAGTTTTTCCAGGATTTTAGATATAAAAGTGAGGTTTGAGATCGGTCTGTAGTTTGTAAGTATTTCTGGGTCCAGGTTTGTTTTCTTCAGAAGGGGTTTGATTACCGCGGTTTTAAAAGCTTGTGGGACATAGCCACATTGTATGGATGCGTTTATTATATTTACGATAGGCTCAATTATCAAAGGAAGTATGTCTTTGAAGAGCCATGTCGGGACTGCGTCTAACATGCAAGTTGAGGCTTTTGAGGATGTGACCACAGAGATCACCTCTGCTTGGCTCACAGCCATGAATTTATTAAGGCCCACTGAAGAGTCTAAGTGGGAAGTCACGTATGCCGCTTCAACCTGTCCACCACTAACAGCAGGAGCAACCTCCTCCAGCTTGTCACGGATGGATGTAATTTTATTATTAAAGAAGTGGAGAAAGTCGACACTGCTCAGTGAGCTTGGAATTTTAGGCTCGATTGCGCTATGGCAGTTTGTGAGTTTAGTGACGGTACCAAACAAAAATCTACTGTTGTTTTTATTCGCTTCTATTAAAGTTGAATAGTATTGAGTTCGAGCCCCGCGAAGGGCCTTCTTGTAGTTTCGGAGACCTGCTTTCCACTCCCTGTGGACAGGCTCCGAGTGGGAGTGGCGATATAGCCTCTCCAATTTTCTGACGTCCTGTTTTAAAGTGTGGAGTTGAACACTGTACCAGGGCGACGATGATCTAATCCTAATGGTTTTCTGTTTTAAAGGAGCTGCTGCATTTAATGCAGATTTTAAAGACTCCATAGTGTTGCCCACCGTTTGGTCAATGACTGAGGGACTGCAGCTGCTGTGAACAGGTTCACCTGCAGCAGTATTCAACATAGGCTGTATTAGTTCTTTGAACCTTGTGATAGATTTATCATTTAAGGTTCTTTTCATTATGGTTTTATCTTGCGGGACAGGAAAGTCCTCCAAAGCGAGATCAAACGTGATCAAGAAATGGTCAGACAGCAACGAGCTTTGACGCTGGATGTCAACATTGGAGACATCACAGCCGTAGGTCAGGACAAGGTCCAAGGTGTGGTTATGAATGTGAGTAGGTTCCTCGACATTCTGAGTAAAACCAACACCATCTAGTACGGCGCTGAAAGCTTTGTTTAAGCTGTCAGTGCTGTCGTCCACATGTATATTGAAGTCTCCAGCTATAACTATGTTTTCCCATTCCAAAACTAGGTTTGAAATGAAGTCAGAGAATTCTGTTAGGAACTCGCTGTAAGGACCAGGAGGTCGGTATAAAACTATAAATAGTACTGCTTTTTGTTTTCTCCACCCAGGACAGGTGATTGAAAGTGTTAAGTTTTCAAACGAGTGAAAAGCGTTGTTGGTTTTGGGACTAAGAACCAAGTTGGTGTGTGATATAATCGCAACACCACCGCCGCGACCTGTAGCTCTGGCTTTCTGGTAGTTAACATGCGTCGGAGGAGTGCACTCATTCAATCTAACGTAGTCGTCCTGTTGGAGCCAAGTCTCCGAGAGCGCTAACAGATCCAAGCCCTTGTCTATAATAAGTTCGTTTATGAGAAGCGATTTAGACGAGATTGATCTGACGTTCATTAAACCACATTTAACAACCCTACCGCTAGAACTATTTCTGTCTGTCTGAACTTTTATTAAGTTACTGTGTCTGACACCCAGGTCAGATTTCCTCGCATATAGTGCTTTAGACTTCAAGCGGGGAACACACACAGTTTCAATCTGACTAGGTTCTGAGGCTAGTAACTGAGCACACACAGGCACACACACACATGCACACACAGTTTCAATCTGACTAGCCTCTGAGGCTAGTAACTGAACAGATGGGGGCTCAGAGGTTGTGGCAGAGCAGCTCTGCACCCGGGCCTCAGTTCTGCATCGTCATTTGAGCCGAGCAGAACAGTTTAGAGCCAGGGCCAAATTCTTAGCCAAAAGGGATGTACCCGCCAACGTTGGGTGGATATCATCCGAGCGGATGAGACCGGGCTTTCCCCAAAAGGCACTCCAATTGTCAACATGAACAACACCACTTCGAGGGCACCAGCCAGACAGCCAGCGGTTGAAAGCCGAGTGTCTGCTGAATGCTTCTGCACTGCTAGTGCTAGGTAGGGGCCCAGAGAAGATGACAGTGTCGGCCATTGTGCTAGCCAGCTTGCACACGGCGGCGACTTGCAGCTTCAACACCTCGGACTGTTTCCGCCGAACGTCATTACCACCCGCGTGAATAACAATTCGACGGAAACGCTGCTTGTGGGTCATCATGAGCCTCAGATTCCCTTCAATATCACCAAGCCTGGCCCCAGGGAAGCACCGAACAGTGGCTCCTGGGATCTTAACACCTCTAACAATAGAGGAGCCAATTACCAGCGCATCAGCGACTCCATCGGCTCTCTCAGCAGCTCTCTCAGCGGCTCTCTCAGTGGGGCCTTCTTCCCCGCCCGGCCGCGCGGGGGCGCAGCCGGACAGAGCGTCCCAGTGATTGTAAATGCTAACAGGAGGAGGCCCAATGGGGAAACTACCAACAACACGTCGCCCTCTCCGAACAGTCACAAAGCCATCACTATCCTGGTCTTGTCCCAGCTGCGGAGGACGGGCTGGGAGGCTAGGCTCGCTAGTTCTCCTCTGCCTTTCCCTAAAGCTGCGCTCCGCTGTCCCTGAGGATACGGCCTGGCTGTAGCTAATGCTAGCGCTAGCTCGAGACTCCAGTGCTCGGAGACGCAGCTCTAACTCACTGACCCTGGATTCCAGAGCTACGACTACACTACACTTCACACATCTATCACTACCCTCAGAGAAGGATCCAGGGTTTAGACTCGCCATATGGCAACTCGAGCAGTAAAGGATTGAGGGAGAGACAGCAGCCGCCATAGTAGCGAGTTAGCGGCTAGGCTAGGCTAAGCTAGGCTAGGCTAAGCTAGTACGGATCCGGGCCCGCACAACAGACTCCGAGACCAGACAAACAACCGCTACCTAAACCTCAGCTACAGTACAGCTGACTCGGAGTGCTTACACAGTTAGCTTGGTGTACAATACGTGGATTTGTAATGTGTTTGTTAGTGCAAACAGAGAGCAGAGTGATAGCAGTCAAGAAACACGCTCACCGGATACAGGAAGTCAAGATCTTTCCTTCTCTCTAGTTATTCCAATATGGTTTTACTGCAAATGGAAATTAAACTGAATATGAATCTGAGTAGTGTAATTTATTAGTTTATGTGTAATATCTAGTCATGAGCTATAGGTAATGACCGAAAGAACAAGCTTGCAGGTACAAGCGATCAAAGTTAGCTTCCTCTGCAGAGTGGCTGGGTGCTCCCTGAGAGAAAGGGTGAGGAGCTGGGTCACATGAGAGGAGCTTGGAGTAGAGCCGCTGCTTCTCCACATTGAGAGAATCCTCCCTCCTCCCGTGCCATTCCGTACAGCAAGGGTTTAAGCAGGCAAATAATTGTATCCACAATTATTATCCACGGTGGTGATTATGAAGAAGGTCCTGGGTTTGAATCCCGGTCGGAACAGGGCCTTTCTGAGGGGAGTTTACATGTTCTCCTCGTGTCTACGTAGGTTTCCTGCGGGTGCTCCGGTTTCCCCTACCACTAAAAACATGTGCAATAGTTCAGAGTGAATTAATGTGTGGTTATGAATGCGACTGTGGGACGACGGATGCAAATTAGCCCAAGACTACAATCTGGAGAGATGGACTGTCCTGACAAAATCGACAATTAGAAAAACAAATAACAGATTAAGATTAAGATTAAGAGAGATCCTTTATTTGTCCCACAGTGGGGAAATGTCAGTGTTGCATCACAAGTTATAGAACGGTAGGAATGAGGAGCACACAGTGGACAATAGCTATACTAATTAAAATAACAAAATGTCTAACTCTAGCATCAATAACAAGTATAACATCTCTATCTTTAAAATAATAAAAATAAAAAGAAGTGTAAAAGTTTTACATTTGGCAAAAGGTAAAGCATTGTTTCATTACATAATTTCAATAACCTACAAAATAACACAAACAGACAGCTTTGAGAAAACTAGTGTTAAGGAATTACTGTTTATATGTGTTTCTCTGTTGTTGAAGGAGGTGGACATTTACACTGTGAAACCTGAAGACCTGAGCTTCACCTCCGCCTTCTGTCTCCAAATCCAGAGGAACGACTACGTCCACGCTCTGGTCACTTATTTCAACATCGAGTTCACCAAATGCCACAAGAAGACGGGCTTTTCCACCGGTAAGACGTCTTTGAACTGGGGCAAGAGCAGTCAGGAGTCACTCTGAGACTTTGGGATGAGAGTCACTCTGAGACTTTGGGATGAGAGTCACTCAGACTTTGGGATGAGAGTCACTCAGACTTTGGGATGAGAGTCACTCAGTCTTTGGGATGAGAGTCACTCAGACTTTGGGATGAGAGTCACTCAGTCTTTGGGATGAGAGTCACTCTGAGACTTTGGGATGAGAGTCACTCTGAGACTTTGGGATGAGAGTCTCTGAGACTTTGGGATGAGAGTCACTCTGAGACTTTGGGATGAGAGTCTCTCTGAGACTTTGGGATGAGAGTCACTCAGTCTTTGGGATGAGAGTCACTCTGAGACTTTGGGATGACAGTCACTCTGAGACTTTGGGATGAGAGTCACTCTGAGACTTTGGGATGGGAGTCACTCAGTCTTTGGGATGAGAGTCACTCTGAGACTTTGGGATGAGAGTCTCTCTGAGACTTTGGGATGAGAGTCACTCAGTCTTTGGGATGAGAGTCACTCTGAGACTTTGGGATGAGAGTCACTCTGAGACTTTGGGATGAGAGTCACTCTGAGACTTTGGGATGGGAGTCACTCAGTCTTTGGGATGAGAGTCACTCTGAGACTTTGGGATGAGAGTCTCTCTGAGACTTTGGGATGAGAGTCACTCAGTCTTTGGGATGAGAGTCACTCTGAGACTTTGGGATGAGAGTCACTCTGAGACTTTGGGATGGGAGTCACTCCTCAGTCTTTGGGATGAGAGTCACTCAGACTTTGGGATGAGAGTCACTCAGACTTTGGGATGAGAGTCACTCAGTCTTTGGGATGAGAGTCACTCAGACTTTGGGATGAGAGTCACTCTGAGACTTTGGGATGAGAGTCTGTCTGAGACTTTGGGATGAGAGTCACTCAGACTTTGGGATGAGAGTCACTCAGTCTTTGGGATGAGAGTCACTCAGACTTTGGGATGAGAGTCACTCAGACTTTGGGATGAGAGTCACTCAGTCTTTGGGATGAGAGTCACTCAGACTTTGGGATGAGAGTCACTCTGAGACTTTGGGATGAGAGTCTGTCTGAGACTTTGGGATGAGAGTCACTCAGACTTTGGGATGAGAGTCACTCAGACTTTGGGATGAGAGTCTCTCTGAGACTTTGGGATGAGAGTCACTCAGACTTTGGGATGAGAGTCTCTCTGAGACTTTGGGATGAGAGTCACTCAGACTTTGGGATGAGAGTCACTCTGACTTTGGGATGAGAGTCTCTCTGAGACTTTGGGATGAGAGTCACTCAGACTTTGGGATGAGAGTCTCTGAGACTTTGGGATGAGAGTCACTCAGACTTTGGGATGAGAGTCACTCTGAGACTTTGGGATGAGAGTCACTCTGACTTTGGGATGAGAGTCACTCAGACTTTGGGATGAGAGTCACTCAGACTTTGGGATGAGAGTCACTCTGAGACTTTGGGATGAGAGTCACTCAGACTTTGGGATGAGAGTCACTCTGAGACTTTGGGATGAGAGTCACTCAGACTTTGGGATGAGAGTCACTCAGACTTTGGGATGAGAGTCACTCAGACTTTGGGATGAGAGTCACTCAGACTTTGGGATGAGAGTCACTCAGAGACTTTGGGATGAGAGTCACTCAGAGACTTTGGGATGAGAGTCACTCTGACTTTGGGATGAGAGTCACTCAGACTTTGGAATGAGAGTCTCTCTGAGACTTTGGGATGAGAGTCACTCAGACTTTGGGATGAGAGTCTCTCTGAGACTTTGGGATGAGAGTCACTCAGACTTTGGGATGAGAGTCTCTCTGAGACTTTGGGATGAGAGTCACTCTGAGACTTTGGGATGAGAGTCACTCAGAGACTTTGGGATGAGAGTCACTCTGACTTTGGGATGAGAGTCACTCAGACTTTGGAATGAGAGTCTCTCTGAGACTTTGGGATGAGAGTCACTCAGACTTTGGGATGAGAGTCTCTCTGAGACTTTGGGATGAGAGTCACTCAGACTTTGGGATGAGAGTCTCTCTGAGACTTTGGGATGAGAGTCACTCAGACTTTGGGATGAGAGTCACTCTGAGACTTTGGGATGAGAGTCACTCTGAGACTTTGGGATGAGAGCTGAAGTTCTCTGTCTATAAAAGATGTTTGGAAGGTCAAGTCAAAAGGTTTGGAAAAGAAAAGACTTTTCTAAAAAATTATCATTATAATAATAATAATCTATATACCTACAGATACTTACAGAGAGAAACCATAGAGACAGAAACCAGAGAGAGACCAGAGAGAGAGAAACCAGAAAGATATAGACCAGAGAGAGACCATAGAGAGGGAGAGAGACCAGATGGATACCAGAGACAGAGACCAGAGAGAGAGACTCATGGTTTGTAATTGTTCTTTAAATCAGGATCATAGATTACCTTAATTCTACACAAAGTGAATAGAATCCTTTTTTATTTTATTTTTTTATGATTGAAAAAACACTACAGAAACTCTGAATATGCTCAGGGAAAAGTTTAATTGTATAACACAGTTCATACACAATGCAACACAAGTGCTAAACAGAACAGAAGAGCAGAAACCAAAACACCCAACACTAAACTCTGCCAACACCACACACACAAACCCCACACAACAAAGGACAACATGGAGATAATATTGATAATGACCATAATAATCAATTAGTTTTTAACAATGATGATCAGCAGGATAATGGCGAAGATCAAACCGGGCGTGTCCCCGGTGCAGCCGTGAGAGAGCCGTGAGAGGGGCGTGAGCGAGCCGTGAGCGAGCCGTGAGAGAGCCGTGAGCGAGCCGTGAGAGAGCCGTGAGAGAGCCATGAGAGAGCCGTGAGAGAGCCATGAGCGAGCTGTGAGAGAGCCGTGAGAGAGCCATGAGCGAGCTGTGAGAGAGCCATGAGCGAGCTGTGAGAGAGCCATGAGAGAGCCGTGAGAGAGCCATGAGCGAGCTGTGAGAGAGCCATGAGAGAGCCGTGAGAGAGCCATGAGCGAGCTGTGAGAGAGCCATGAGAGAGCCGTGAGAGAGCCATGAGCGAGCTGTGAGAGAGCCGTGAGAGAGCCATGAGCGAGCTGTGAGAGAGCCATGAGCGAGCTGTGAGAGAGCCATGAGAGAGCCATGAGCGAGCCATGAGAGAGCCATGAGCGAGCTGTGAGAGAGCCATGAGCGAGGCTGTGAGAGAGCCATGAGAGAGCCGTGAGAGAGCCATGAGAGAGCCATGAGCGAGCTGTGAGAGAGCCATGAGAGAGCCATGAGCGAGCTGTGAGAGAGCCATGAGCGAGCTGTGAGAGAGCCATGAGAGAGCCATGAGAGAGCCATGAGCGAGCCATGAGAGAGCCATGAGCGAGCCGTGAGCGAGCTGTGAGAGAGCCGTGAGAGAGCCGTGAGAGAGCCGTGAGAGAGCCGTGAGCGAGCCGTGAGCGAGCCGTGAGAGAGCCGTGAGAGAGCCATGAGCGAGCCGTGAGAGAGCCATGAGAGAGCCGTGAGAGAGCCATGAGCGAGCGGTGAGAGAGCCGTGAGAGAGCCATGAGCGAGCCATGAGAGAGCCGTGAGAGAGCCATGAGCGAGCCATGAGAGAGCCGTGAGAGAGCCGTGAGAGAGCCATGAGAGAGCCATGAGAGAGCCATGAGCGAGCCATGAGAGAGCCGCGAGCGAGCCGCGAGAGAGCCGTGAGAGAGCCGTGAGAGAGCCGTGAGAGAGCCATGAGCGAGCTGTGAGAGAGCCATGAGAGAGCCATGAGAGAGCCATGAGCGAGCCATGAGAGAGCCGTGAGAGAGCCATGAGTGAGCTGTGAGAGAGCCATGAGAGAGCCGTGAGCAAGCTGTGAGAGAGCCATGAGAGAGCCGTGAGAGAGCCATGAGCGAGCCATGAGAGAGCCATGAGCGAGCTGTGAGAGAGCCATGAGCGAGCTGTAAGAGAGCCATGAGAGAGCCATGAGCGAGCCGTGAGCGAGCCATGAGCGAGCCGTGAGCGAGCCGTGAGCGAGCCACGAGAGAGCCGTGAGAGAGCCATGAGAGAGCCATGAGCGAGCCATGAGAGAGCCATGAGCGAGCTGTGAGAGAGCCATGAGCGAGCTGTGAGAGAGCCATGAGCGAGCTGTAAGAGAGCCATGAGAGAGCCATGAGAGAGCCATGAGCGAGCCGTGAGCGAGCCATGAGAGAGCCATGAGCGAGCCATGAGAGAGCCATGAGCGAGCCATGAGAGAGCCATGAGCGAGCCGTGAGCGAGCTGTGAGAGAGCCGTGAGAGAGCCGTGAGCGAGCCGTGAGAGAGCCGTGAGAGAGCCGTGAGAGAGCCATGAGCGAGCTGTGAGAGAGCCATGAGCGAGCTGTGAGAGAGCCATGAGCGAGCTGTGAGAGAGCCATGAGAGAGCCGTGAGAGAGCCATGAGCGAGCTGTGAGAGAGCCATGAGAGAGCCGTGAGAGAGCCATGAGCGAGCTGTGAGAGAGCCATGAGAGAGCCGTGAGAGAGCCATGAGCGAGCTGTGAGAGAGCCGTGAGAGAGCCATGAGCGAGCTGTGAGAGAGCCATGAGCGAGCTGTGAGAGAGCCATGAGCGAGCTGTGAGAGAGCCATGAGAGAGCCATGAGCGAGCCATGAGAGAGCCATGAGCGAGCTGTGAGAGAGCCATGAGCGAGCTGTGAGAGAGCCATGAGAGAGCCATGAGCGAGCTGTGAGAGAGCCATGAGAGAGCCATGAGCGAGCTGTGAGAGAGCCATGAGAGAGCCGTGAGAGAGCCATGAGAGAGCCATGAGCGAGCTGTGAGAGAGCCATGAGAGAGCCATGAGCGAGCTGTGAGAGAGCCATGAGCGAGCTGTGAGAGAGCCATGAGAGAGCCATGAGAGAGCCATGAGCGAGCCATGAGAGAGCCATGAGCGAGCCGTGAGCGAGCCTGTGAGAGAGCCGTGAGAGAGCCGTGAGAGAGCCGTGAGAGAGCCGTGAGAGAGCCGTGAGCGAGCCGTGAGCGAGCCGTGAGAGAGCCGTGAGAGAGCCATGAGCGAGCCGTGAGAGAGCCATGAGAGAGCCGTGAGAGAGCCATGAGCGAGCTGTGAGAGAGCCGTGAGAGAGCCATGAGCGAGCCATCAGAGAGCCGTGAGAGAGCCATGAGCGAGCCATGAGAGAGCCGTGAGAGAGCCGTGAGAGAGCCATGAGAGAGCCATGAGAGAGCCATGAGCGAGCCATGAGAGAGCCGCGAGCGAGCCGCGAGAGAGCCGTGAGAGAGCCGTGAGAGAGCCGTGAGAGAGCCGTGAGAGAGCCATGAGAGAGCCGTGAGAGAGCCGTGAGAGAGCCATGAGAGAGCCATGAGAGAGCCATGAGCGAGCCATGAGAGAGCCGTGAGAGAGCCATGAGTGAGCTGTGAGAGAGCCATGAGAGAGCCGTGAGCAAGCTGTTGAGAGAGCCATGAGAGAGCCGTGAGAGAGCCATGAGCGAGCCATGAGAGAGCCATGAGCGAGCTGTGAGAGAGCCATGAGCGAGCTGTAAGAGAGCCATGAGAGAGCCATGAGCGAGCCGTGAGCGAGCCATGAGCGAGCCGTGAGCGAGCCGTGAGCGAGCCACGAGAGAGCCGTGAGAGAGCCATGAGAGAGCCATGAGCGAGCCATGAGAGAGCCATGAGCGAGCTGTGAGAGAGCCATGAGCGAGCTGTGAGAGAGCCATGAGCGAGCTGTAAGAGAGCCATGAGAGAGCCATGAGAGAGCCATGAGCGAGCCGTGAGCGAGCCATGAGAGAGCCATGAGCGAGCCATGAGAGAGCCATGAGCGAGCCATGAGAGAGCCATGAGCGAGCCGTGAGCGAGCTGTGAGAGAGCCGTGAGAGAGCCGTGAGCGAGCCGTGAGAGAGCCGTGAGAGAGCCGTGAGAGAGCCATGAGCGAGCTGTGAGAGAGCCCATGAGCGAGCTGTGAGAGAGCCATGAGCGAGCTGTGAGAGAGCCATGAGAGAGCCGTGAGAGAGCCATGAGCGAGCTGTGAGAGAGCCATGAGAGAGCCGTGAGAGAGCCATGAGCGAGCTGTGAGAGAGCCATGAGAGAGCCGTGAGAGAGCCATGAGCGAGCTGTGAGAGAGCCGTGAGAGAGCCATGAGCGAGCTGTGAGAGAGCCATGAGCGAGCTGTGAGAGAGCCATGAGAGAGCCATGAGCGAGCCATGAGAGAGCCATGAGCGAGCTGTGAGAGAGCCATGAGCGAGCTGTGAGAGAGCCATGAGAGAGCCGTGAGAGAGCCATGAGAGAGCCATGAGCGAGCTGTGAGAGAGCCATGAGCGAGCTGTGAGAGAGCCATGAGCGAGCTGTGAGAGAGCCATGAGAGAGCCATGAGAGAGCCATGAGCGAGCCATGAGAGAGCCATGAGCGAGCCGTGAGCGAGCTGTGAGAGAGCCGTGAGAGAGCCGTGAGAGAGCCGTGAGAGAGCCGTGAGAGAGCCGTGAGCGAGCCGTGAGCGAGCCGTGAGAGAGCCGTGAGAGAGCCATGAGCGAGCCGTGAGAGAGCCATGAGAGAGCCGTGAGAGAGCCATGAGCGAGCTGTGAGAGAGCCGTGAGAGAGCCATGAGCGAGCCATGAGAGAGCCGTGAGAGAGCCATGAGCGAGCCATGAGAGAGCCGTGAGAGAGCCGTGAGAGAGCCATGAGAGAGCCATGAGCGAGCCATGAGAGAGCCGCGAGCGAGCCGCGAGAGAGCCGTGAGAGAGCCGTGAGAGAGCCATGAGCGAGCTGTGAGAGAGCCATGAGAGAGCCGTGAGAGCCATGAGAGAGCCATGAGCGAGCCATGAGAGAGCCGTGAGAGAGCCATGAGTGAGCTGTGAGAGAGCCATGAGAGAGCCGTGAGCAAGCTGTGAGAGAGCCGTGAGAGAGCCATGAGCGAGCCATGAGAGAGCCATGAGCGAGCTGTGAGAGAGCCATGAGCGAGCTGTAAGAGAGCCATGAGAGAGCCATGAGCGAGCCGTGAGCGAGCCATGAGCGAGCCGTGAGAGAGCCATGAGAGAGCCATGAGCGAGCCATGAGAGAGCCATGAGCGAGCTGTGAGAGAGCCATGAGCGAGCTGTAAGAGAGCCATGAGAGAGCCATGAGAGAGCCATGAGCGAGCCGTGAGCGAGCCATGAGAGAGCCATGAGCGAGCCATGAGAGAGCCATGAGCGAGCTGTAAGAGAGCCATGAGAGAGCCATGAAAGAGCCATGAGCGAGCCGTGAGCGAGCCATGAGCGAGCCGTGAGCGAGCCGTGAGAGAGCCGTGAGCGAGCCGTGAGCGAGCCGTGAGCGAGCCGTGAGCGAGCCGTGAGAGAGCCATGAGAGAGCCGTGAGAGAGCCGTGAGAGAGCCATGAGAGAGCCGTGAGAGAGCGTGGCTAATGTGCAGCTTGATGAGGCCTCAGAGCTATCATGACTGCAGTTAATGGAATTGTCACTGTACATTAAGGCATTTCAGATCTGCCTGATGGCTTTGATCACACACATCAAGAGAGAGCGTTAAGACAGGCCTGATGCTGCTGCTGCTGATGCTGTTAGACTGCCCTCTAGTGGACAAAAGTGAAAATGCAAGTGGATATATTTTATTTTAGTCCATTTGATGTGAAAGAGGCTAAAATAAACGTTATAAGCAATAGAGGCGGTATAGATTGAAGAGCAGTTATGGATAGACTGGGTTTATTTTTGAACATGATGTCTTTTGTCAGCTCCAGATACGGCCTACACACACTGGAAGCAGACGGTGTTCTACCTGGAGGATTATCTGACGGTGAGGAAAGGAGAGGAGATCGTCGGCACCATGTCCATGAAGCCCAACGAGAAGAACATTGTGAGTAAAAACAGACTGTTGTTGTCAGGCACAGCTGCAGATTTAGTTTTATGAAAGTGTGAGTTCGCACTGAACACGAGAAATTATTATAATGTTTTAATTATTCAATGCTACAGATACATAACTAAACTCATGGATGTATTTTCATTATGTTCATAGGATTTTTACTTTCTTCCCACTCTCTGGTCTCTCTCTGGTCTCTCTCTGGTCTCTCTCTGGTCTCTCTCTCTGGTCTCTCTCTGGTCTCTCTCTGGTCTCTCTCTGGTCTCTCTCTGGTCTCTCTCTGGTCTCTCTCTGGTCTCTCTCTGGTCTCTCTCTGGTCTCTCTCTGGTCTCTCTCTCTGGTCTCTCTCTGGTCTCTCTCTCTGGTCTCTCTCTGGTCTCTCTCTGGTCTCTCTCTCTGGTCTCTCTCTGGTCTCTCTCTCTGGTCTCTCTCTGGTCTCTCTCTGGTCTCTCTCTCTGGTCTCTCTCTGGTCTCTCTCTGGTCTCTCTCTGGTCTCTCTCTGGTCTCTCTCTCTGGTCTCTCTCGGGTCTCTCTCTCTGGTCTCTCTCGGGTCTCTCTCTCTGGTCTCTCTCTCTGGTCTCTCTCTGGTCTCTCTCTGGTCTCTCTCTGGTCTCTCTCGGGTCTCTCTCTCTGGTCTCTCTCTGGTCTCTCTGTCTGGTCTCTCTCTGGTCTCTCTCTGGTCTCTCTCTCTGGTCTCTCTCTGGTCTCTCTCTCTGGTCTCTCTCTGGTCTCTCTCTCTGGTCTCTCTCTGGTCTCTCTCTGGTCTCTCTCTCTGGTCTCTCTCTCTGGTCTCTCTCTGGTCTCTCTCTGGTCTCTCTCTCTGGTCTCTCTCTGGTCTCTCTCTGGTCTCTCTCTGGTCTCTCTCTCTGGTCTCTCTCGGGTCTCTCTCTCTGGTCTCTCTGGGGTCTCTCTCTCTGGTCTCTCTCTCTGGTCTCTCTCTGGTCTCTCTCTGGTCTCTCTCTCTGGTCTCTCTCTGGTCTCTCTCTGGTCTCTCTCTGGTCTCTCTCTGGTCTCTCTCTGGTCTCTCTCTCTGGTCTCTCTCTGGTCTCTCTCTCTGGTCTCTCTCTGGTCTCTCTCTGGTCTCTCTCTCTGGTCTCTCTCTGGTCTCTCTCTGGTCTCTCTCTGGTCTCTTTCTCTGGTCTCTCTCTCTGGTCTCTCTCTCTGGTCTCTCTCTCTGGTCTCTCTCTCTGGTCTCTCTCTCTCTCTGGTCTCTCTCTGGTCTCTCTCTCTGGTCTCTCTCTCTCTGGTCTCTCTCTGGTCTCTCTCTGGTCTCTCTCTGGTCTCTCTCTGGTCTCTCTCTCTGGTCTCTCTCTCTGATCTCTCTGGTCTCTCTCTGGTCTCTCTCTCTGGTCTCTCTCTCTCTGATCTCTCTCTCTGGTCTCTCTCTCTGATCTCTCTCTCTGGTCTCTCTCTGGTCTCTCTCTGGTCTCTCTCTGGTCTCTCTCTGGTCTCTCTCTCTGGTCTCTCTCTGGTCTCTCTCTCTGGTCTCTCTCTCTGGTCTCTCTCTCTGGTCTCTCTCTCTGATCTCTCTCTCTGGTCTCTCTCTCTGGTCTCTCTCTGGTCTCTCTCTCTGGTCTCTCTCTCTGGTCTCTCTCTCTGGTTTCTCTCTCTGGTCTCTCTCTCTGATCTCTCTCTCTCTGGTCTCTCTCTGGTCTCTCTCTCTGGTCTCTCTCTGGTCTCTCTCTGGTCTCTCTCTGGTCTCTCTCTCTGGTCTCTCTCTCTGGTCTCTCTCTGGTCTCTCTCTGGTGTCTCTCTGGTCTCTCTCTGGTCTCTCTCTGGTCTCTCTCTGGTCTCTCTCTGGTCTCTCTCTCTGGTCTCCCTCTCTCTGGCCTCTCTCTCTCTGGTCTCTCTCTGGCCTCTCTCTCTCTGGTCTCTCTCTGGTCTCTCTCTCTGGTCTCTCTCTCTGGTCTAATATACCAAAACATGGTGAAACTATGGCCAATGCAGCTGCATGATTGTGTATGTGTATTTACAGTATGTGTGTATATAATGTATGTGTATTTACAGTATGTGTGTATATAATGTATGTGTATTTACAGTATGTGTGTATATAATGTATGTGTATTTACAGTATGTGTGTATATAATGTATGTGTATTTACAGTATGTGTGTATATAATGTATGTGTGTATATAATGTAGGCACTAAAACAATGTACTAAAGTTCTCCATAATGTAAGAAATATAGATATTGAATTGAATATTGACATACTTATGAATGTTTAATTAAATGACAGTTTCACATTTAAATCTCAGAAAACCAGTCATGCTCCTGGTGTACCTGGTGTACCTGGTGTACCTGGTGTACCTGGTGTACCTGGTGTACCTGGTGCACCTGGTGTACCTGGTGTACCTGGTGTACCTGGTGTACCTGGTGTACCTGGTGCACCTGGTGTACCTGGTGTACCTGGTGTACTTACAGACGCAGTATTGTATCATTTCTGTATAATATATGAAAACACTGGGTCCCACGCTGCAGACAGACTCTCCTACAGACTCTCCTACAGACTCTCCTACAGACTCTCCTACAGACTCTCCTACAGACTCTCCTACAGACTCTTCTACAGACTCTTCTACAGTCTCTCCTACAGACTCTCCTACAGACTCTCCTACAGACTCTTCTACAGACTCTTCTACAGTCTCTCCTACAGACTCTTCTACAGACTCTCCTACAGTCTCTCCTACAGACTCTTCTACAGACTCTTCTACAGACTCTTCTACAGTCTCTCCTACAGTCTCTCCTACAGACTCTCCTACAGACTCTCCTACAGTCTCTCCTACAGACTCTTCTACAGACTCTTCTACAGACTCTTCTACAGACTCTCCTACAGTCTCTCCTACAGACTCTCCTACAGACTCTTCTACAGACTCTCCTACAGACTCTCCTACAGACTCTTCTACAGACTCTTCTACAGTCTCTCCTACAGACTCTCCTACAGACTCTTCTACAGACTCTCCTACAGACTCTCCTACAGACTCTCCTACAGACTCTTCTACAGACTCTCCTACAGACTCTCCTACAGTCTCTCCTACAGACTCTCCTACAGACTCTCCTACAGACTCTCCTACAGACTCTCCTACAGTCTCTCCTACAGACTCTTCTACAGTCTCTCCTACAGACTCTCCTACAGTCTCTCCTACAGACTCTCCTACAGACTCTCCTACAGACTCTCCTACAGACTCTCCTACAGTCTCTCCTACAGACTCTTCTACAGTCTCTCCTACAGACTCTCCTACAGTCTCTCCTACAGACTCTCCTACAGACTCTCCTACAGTCTCTCCTACAGACTCTCCTACAGACTCTCCTACAGACTCTTCTACAGACTCTTCTACAGACTCTCCTACAGTCTCTCCTACAGACTCTTCTACAGACTCTCCTACAGACTCTCCTACAGACTCTCCTACAGACTCTCCTACAGACTCTCCTACAGTCTCTCCTACAGACTCTCCTACAGACTCTCCTACAGACTCTCCTACAGACTCTCCTACAGACTCTTCTACAGTCTCTCCTACAGACTCTCCTACAGACTCTTCTGCAGACTCTTCTACAGACTCTTCTACAGACTCTCCTACAGTCTCTCCTACAGACTCTTCTACAGACTCTTCTACAGACTCTCCTACAGTCTCTCCTACAGACTCTTCTACAGACTCTCCTACAGACTCTCCTACAGACTCTCCTACAGTCTCTCCTACAGACTCTTCTACAGACTCTTCTACAGACTCTTCTACAGACTCTTCTACAGACTCTCCTACAGACTCTCCTACAGACTCTTCTACAGTCTCTTCTACAGTCTCTCCTACAGACTCTCCTACAGACTCTTCTACAGACTCTCCTACAGACTCTCCTACAGACTCTTCTACAGTCTCTCCTACAGACTCTCCTACAGACTCTTCTACAGACTCTCCTACAGACTCTCCTACAGACTCTCCTACAGACTCTCCTAGTCTCTCCTACAGACTCTCCTACAGACTCTTCTACAGTCTCTCCTACAGACTCTCCTACAGACTCTCCTACAGACTCTTCTACAGTCTCTCCTACAGACTCTTCTACAGTCTCTCCTACAGACTCTCCTACAGACTCTCCTACAGACTCTCCTACAGACTCTTCTACAGTCTCTCCTACAGTCTCTCCTACAGACTCTCCTAGTCTCTCCTACAGACTCTCCTACAGACTCTTCTACAGTCTCTCCTACAGACTCTCCTACAGACTCTTCTACAGACTCTTCTACAGTCTCTCCTACAGACTCTTCTACAGTCTCTCCTACAGACTCTCCTACAGACTCTCCTACAGACTCTCCTACAGACTCTTCTACAGTCTCTCCTACAGTCTCTCCTACAGACTCTCCTACAGTCTCTCCTACAGACTCTCCTACAGACTCTCCTACAGACTCTTCTACAGTCTCTCCTACAGTCTCTCCTACAGACTCTCCTACAGTCTCTCCTACAGACTCTCCTACAGACTCTTCTACAGACTCTTCTACAGTCTCTCCTACAGACTCTTCTACAGTCTCTCCTACAGACTCTCCTACAGTCTCTCCTACAGTCTCTCCTACAGACTCTCCTACAGACTCTTCTACAGTCTCTCCTACAGACTCTCCTACAGACTCTCCTACAGACTCTCCTACAGTCTCTCCTACAGACTCTCCTACAGACTCTCCTACAGACTCTCCTACAGACTCCAGCGCTGGAGATGCCAGTGTCCTTGCTTCGTTTAATACACAATATGTTCTTACCACTGCTGCCATAGAAACAGTGAAATGTGAAACCTGAATTTTGTGTAATTACCTGTGATTTTTGATCAGATACTTGTGGTTGAATGCGTATCTGTGGCGCAAACATCACTGAGATAAAAAACACCAATTCAGAAGAGAAATCTCAATCCTTTGTCTTTTTGTCTGACGAGGATTATTATAGATTTCTGAGTTTTTTTCCGAAACTACATTAACAAAAGTGTTGTTTTGAAACTAAAGTTTATCCAAAACACGGGCAGTTCAGAACTGCCAACACTTAAATGTTTATTATTAGCTTTTGTGACACAGTGTGGCTAATGTCTGTGGAGTGAATTAACATCCAACCATTTTAAAGCCAAGAACAGACTCGTGTTGGTAAAGGTGAACTTTATTAATCCCCGTAGTGTCACTGATCCTCTGCATTTGACCCAGACCCAGATGCCCTAAGGCTTACGTCAGGAGCAGTGGTCGCCGTAGTAACAGCGCCAGGGAACCCATCTCCAGATGTTGATGCTGGTTCAGGACCAGAGCTGGAGGACTTAACCTAGTGAGCATGTTATTAGTGGTAGGGGAAACTGGAGTACCCGGAGGAAACCTGCACAGGGAGAATATGCAAAGTCAGAAAGGCCCTGTTACGAACAGGATTCGAACCCAGGACCTTCTTGCTGAGAAGCAGGAGTGCTAACCACTCTGCCGTTGTCTGTCTCTGGACATGTCTGGTGAACTAAAGTGACCCTCTTACAAAAAATAGATGGATTTATTTTGACTTGTTGCCATTTTGTTTGCTTTTTGAGAACGAGAATGTTGGTGTAGAAGTCAAAACAGTAAGACCTAGCCCTAAATATGACATCACAATCTCCATTCAAAATATTACAATCTCTATGTAATAAATGACATCACTTATTCATGTCAAATCTAGGCAGACCAAAACCTAAACATGATCTTGAGTCTGGTGCATCTCTAACACCTGCACACTTTGATCTATTTGTTATCTTTCTGTTTCAGCGAGATCTGGACTTCACCTTCGAGCTGGATTTCAAGGGTCAGCTGTGTGAAGCCGCCATGTCGCACGACTACAGGATGCGTTAGATCTGAGCAGAGGGAAGCGTCACTGAAGCCTCCACGATGAGAGGGGACCCCCAAAGAGGCTCCCGGACCACAAGGGGCCATGGAGAACCCCCATCACAAACCCCCGGGACCAGAGGACTGTTCTGTTATATGAATGTAACACTGACAAAAGCCGTCAGGGAACTCTTCGATGAATGTTACCGGTGTGAGTAGAATGATTCCTTATAGTCGCTGATTTATCGTGCATATTGTGTTCAAATAAATACGTTTTTTTTTTTTAAGAGACAATGACAACGCCTCAAAAAAATATCTTTCTTTTCTCTTTTTGTTCAAGACATATTGGACAATGACAGAAACCGGTCTCAGCCAAGGATTTACACGTTGTACAGTGACATTGGTATTGTGGTGCTGCGGTGGTGGTAGTTGTGTGACTTGGATGCTGTGGTGTTTGTGGTTGTTGCCCCCGGATCCTGAATGCCTTTGACCAAGTGCCCAAGTGACCCTCAACCACGCCATTCCAGAAAGTCCACTTCCTCATGTTCAAATCACATTCATTTTATTTGCCATTTGGTCTCTGCTCTCTCTCTCTCTCTGGTCCCTTTCTCTGGTCTCTCTCGCTGTCGTCTCTCTTTCTGGTCTCTTTAAGGTCTCTCTATGGTCTCTCTCTGGTCGGTCTCTCTCTCTGGTCTCTTTAAGGTCTTACTTAGGTCTCTCTCTGGTCTCTTTAAGGTCTTACTTAGGTCTCTCTCTCTGGTCTCTCTCTCTCTGGTCTCTCTCTCTCTGGTCTCTCTCTCTCTGGTCTCTCTCTCTCTGGTCTCTCTCTCTCTGGTCTCTCTCTCTCTGGTCTCTCTCTCTCTGGTCTCTCTCTCTCTGGTCTCTCTCTCTCTGGTCTCTCTCTCTCTGGTCTCTCTCTCTCTGGTCTCTCTCTCTCTGGTCTCTCTCTCTCTGGTCTCTCTCTCTGGTCTCTCTCTCTGGTCTCTCTCTCACTGGTCTCTCTCTCTCTGGTCTCTCTCTCTCTGGCGGCACGGTGGCTGAGTGGATAGCACTCTCGCCTCTCAGCAAGAAGGTCCTGGGTTCGAATCCCAGTCGGACCAGGGCCTTTCTGAGTGGAGTTTGCATGTTCTCCCCGTGTCTGCGTAGGTTTCCTCCGGGTACTCCGGTTTCCCCTACCACTAAAAATGTGTCCAATAGTTCTAGCATGCGCCTCCTGTACTGGCGACCCCGCTCCCATCTCTGTGTGGAGTGAGAGACAAATGCCCAAAAATTAACAATTGTAAACCGCTTTGAGACTCTGGTCTGTGAAAGGCGGTATATAAATAAAAAAAAAAAAAAAAAAAGATAAGATTAGATTACTTACTCTGGTCTCTCTCTCTCTGGTCTCTCTCTCTCTGGTCTCTCTCTCTCTGGTCTCTCTCTCTCTCTGGTCTCTCTCTCTGGTCTCTCTCTGGTCTCTCTCTGGTCTCTCTCTCTGGTCTCTCTCTCTGGTCTCTCTCTCTCTCTGGTCTCTCTCTCTGGTCTCTCTCTCTGGTCTCTCTCTCTCTCTCTGGTCTCTCTCTCTCTGGTCTCTCTCTCTCTGGTCTCTCTCTCTGGTCTCTCTCTCTCTGGTCTCTCTCTGGTCTCTCTCTCACCTTGTAAAGGGCTCTGATGTTGCTAAACCACAGTCACAAAAACAAAAGCCGGCTGGTTTTACACAAGGACCTACACTGTTTTAAAAGACACAGTTACACAATTTAAACAGTCATTGAGGCATGCCCAAGTATTGTATAGGAGCCACTTTATCTCTGAAAAAAGCAACTATTGTACAAAGAAATGTTTTTCAAATGTCCAACAAAATATGCACCCGTGGCAAAAATGAGAAATTCTTTATTGCGTCTCTAAATAATTTTATTAGCAACAATGATAATCTCAGATGTTACATGAATAGGTGGATTATGATCCGTCTTCATAAATCTGTTGTCATTAAAGGCTCAAACGTCTCATGGCATCATTTCTAAAGTGATGTTGATATGGATTATTTGTGTGATATTGTTTCCTTAATTTAACACGAGAACTCCCAGAGCAGTCAGTTTCAAAGGTTTTCTGTATCTATATGTAATTTATTCATGTAATTATTTTTGTGCAAGGATATTCTATTTTTGATAACTGAGTAGTTCTAACGTTAACTTACTTTCTCTCTATAGCAGTCTTTATAAGGCGCTGGTTAAGATTAGCCTAGCTTTAGCCATCCGTAAACTCTGGTCAATTATTATTTCCCAACATATGCAAAATGAAATGAGTACAATGGTGTGGTAAGACCAGGCTAGGTTCAGATTGGTCCTGGACTGGTTCTGGACTGGTTCAGTTTCAGTTTGGTTGTCCACCAGAGACGTGAGAGTGCTGGTCACCATAGCAACATACTATTTACTGTTAGCAGCTAGCGTTTAGCTTTAGCATTGGCTTTCAAACAAACGGGTTTCCCCCTATTTCAGTTATATTCAGATATATCCAGTTTTACCGCTTATTAGAATACTTACATTTAATAAATCAGGTGCAGAACTAAAAACATAAAAAGGGAGCAGTCAAAATGATGGCTCTGGGAGTTCTTGAAGTTTCCAAATAATGGGATTCTGGTTCATAATAATGTGACGAAGAGTATCATAGAATTAAAGCCATTTCACGACATGTTTTGAGGATGTGTTTTTCTGTGTTTCGTCACTGTCCATGTGCCAAGTTTATCTTAATGTTTACAGTCTATGGTTTATCTGCAGAGCTCATTAAATCTGTCATTCTTGAATCTTAAAGTAATTGATAAAATTGTTTTGTTTACTTTCTTCTGTTTGAGAAGTATGAGACTCATCAAATCATTTCTAAGTTTAAGTCGACATCTTGACGTCACTGATATGACCCCACAAACTGAAAGTAAAAGGTGTGTGTGTGTACAAAAACATTCTATTATTAATCTACATTTTTATTCCACGTAATGACCTAAAAAGACAATATTTACAATTGAAATATGAAACTAAATACAATTATTACGCCTGATGACAATATTTTTAGGGATTCACATAATACAATATATTACTTCATTAACGTACAATATATTAACTTTATTAACTTACAATAAATAGATTTTTACAGCATTTTTTTTTTAAATATCTTGAGATGTACCAACTTAAGTTTTACCACAAAGAGATCAAGTTTGAACTGAGAAGTCATGAGTAATTAGTAAAAGAAATAGCAAAAGTAGCTCCCTGTTAAAGGGGACATTAAGTGTTGTGGGAGGAGCTACATTAGTGATGGAGGAAAAGTGTTTTCAGGATCCACAGATTACAAAGTCCAGACAAAGTCCAGAGTTATGAAAGAATCAACAGCACGGCCTCTTCTTCCCAGAAGGAGAACTGACCAACGTCACGGTCTTCTCTTTTTCTCTGTCTTCTTGTTCTTTTAAAATCCTTTATGACAAACCAGAAAGTACTAAGTTACCCAGTGTTATCATATCCACGGGCCTGGTTAGTAATGTGAGGGGAGCCAGGGGCCTTAAGTACCGAGCTATTGTCAGTGAGTGCATGAACAGATTGTAGCCTTGCTGCCATCAGACTGCCCCAGTGCAGCTGTGGCTTCTGTAGAAGTTTACCCCCACTGTGATCAAGTGAACGATTCATGCCATGTGGAGCCCTCCATGATGGTATTTATCATCTGTCATTAATGTCATCTCCATGGAGACAAGAAAATAAAGCCACAAGGCCAAGTTACACGGTGGATGTGTGAAGAGGCACACACTCACAGTAAGAAGATTTATAGAAGCAATATTTCTTTAGAAATAAAAAACAGAAACATTTCTGTAAATCTCCCCCACACACAGCCCATATCAGGTTCATACCTTCTTACTCTTCTTACCTAAACTTACCCTGAGCCTGAGCCTTACCTGGCCATATGGATCATCGATTCCAACACATTGTGTCCAGAGAAAGCGCTGCACTCAAAAAACGTCATCTGACAATCCTAATGGAGCCAAATCAGCAAAAACAAAACATTGTGATTCTAAAGAAACCATTAAACCATTTCTCCCAGAAGCAGAAACAAACAGAAACCTTGGCGAGTCGTTCTCCCATGTTGGTCTGGACCTGTCTCTCTTCTTCCTTGTCTGTTTTATTTCCTAAAAGCATGATGGCGATGTCGTCCCCTGCAGCCTCCTGTGAAGCAGAACCATCTTTCAGATAGAACCACTTTAAAAGACACGTGTGTGATCGTTTCCACAAACAGCTGTTCCAGGCAGAGCGTCGAAGGAAAAGGTGGTGAACATAAGAGACCGCAACACGCCGTCTTCATCTTTTATATGAATCTTTTTTTTTGCTTGTAAGTCATTTAAATCTTTGAGAGCTGATTGGCTGAGTGAGGGTGGTCCAATGGCTCTAACATGAACCTCGATACATGGGTTTTATGTCATAGATATACAGTGCCTTGCGAAAGTATTCGGCCCCCTTGAACCTTTCAACATTTCGCCACATTTCAGGCTTCAAACATAAAGATATAAAATTTTAATTTTTTGTCATGAATCAACAACAAGTGGGACACAATCGTGAAGTGGAACGAAATTTATTGGATAATTTAAACTTTTTTAACAAATAAAAAACTGAAAAGTGGGGTGTGCAATATTATTGGGCCCCTTTACTTTCAGTGCAGCAAACTCAGTCCAGAAGTTCAGTGAGGATCTTTGAATGATCCAATGTTGTCCTAAATGACTGATGATGATAAATAGAATGCACCTGTGTGTAATCAAGTCTCCGTATAAATGGACCTGCTCTTTGATAGTCTCAGGGTTCTGTTTAAAGCACAGAGAGAACCATGAAGACAAAGGAACACACCAGGCAGGTCCGAGATACTGTTGTGGAGAAGTTTAAAGCCGGATTTGGATACAAAAAGATTTCCCAAGCTTTAAACATCTCAAGGAGCACTGTGCAAGCAATTATATTGAAATGGAAGGAGTATCAGACCACTGCAAATCTACCAAGACCCGGCCGTCCCTCCAAACTTTCATCTCAAACAAGGAGAAGACTGATCAGAGATGCAGCCAAGAGGCCCATGATCACTCTGGATGAACTGCAGATAACTACAGCTGAGGTGGGAGAGTCTGTCCATAGGACAACAATCAGTCGTGCACTGCACAAATCTGGCCTTTATGGAAGAGTGGCAAGAAGAAAACCATTTCTCAAAGATATCCATAAAAAGTCTGGTTTAAAGTTTGCCACAAGCCACCTGGGAGACACACCAAACATGTGGAAGAAGGTGCTCTGGTCAGATGAAACCAAAATCGAAGTTTTTGGCCACAATGCAAAACGATATGTTTGGCGTAAAAGCAACACAGCTCGTCACCCTGAACACACCATCCCCACTGTCAAACATGGTGGTGGCAGCATCATGCTTTGGGCCTGCTTTTCTTCAGCAGGGACAGGGAAGATGGCTAAAATTGATGGGAAGATGGATGGAGCCAAATACAGGACCATTCTGGAAGAAAACCTGTTGGAGTCTGCAAAATACCTGAGACTGGGACGGAGATTTATCTTCCAACAGGACAATGATCCAAAACATAAAGCCAAATCTACAATGGAATGGTTCACAAATAGACGTATCCAGGTGTTAGAATGGCCAAGTCAAAGTCCAGACCTGAATCCAATCCAGAATCTGTGGAAAGAGCTGAACACTGCTGTTCACAAACGCTCTCCATCCAACCTCACTGAGCTCCAGCTGTTTTGCTAGGAAGAATGGGCAAGAAGTCTCTCGATGTGCAAAACTGATAGAGACATACCCCAAGCGACTTGCAGCTGTAATTGCAGCAAAAGGTGGCGCTACAAAGTATTAGTGCAAGGGGCCGAATAATATTGCACGCCCCACTTTTCAGTTTTTTATTTGTTAAAAAAGTTTAAATTATCCAATAAATTTCGTTCCACTTCAAGATTGTGTCCCACTTGTTGTTGATTCTTGACAAAAAAAAATATGTTTTATATCTTTATGTTTGAAGCCTGAAATGTGGCGAAATGTTGAAAGGTTCAAGGGGGGCCGAATACTTTCGCAAGGCACTGTATTTGTTCAGGTTTGACTGTTAGCTACCCAAACTTTAGGTTCCTTGGCCTCAGCTGCGTGCACATGAGCTCAACACATATTTATTGTGTCCGAGTCTGAACGTTTAGCTAATAGCATCACAAACCCCTAGAACAATGTGAGAAGACTTACATTTATACTGGTGAGCCACTGTCGGACAGAAGTGAAGCTCGACATGTCAGTGATGTCGAACATTATAATCACTCCGTCTGCTTTACGAAAGAACTGTTTGGTGATGCTGCGATACCTGCGAGACCAAAACTCACATTTCAGAAAACAAAACCACAACATGCACTAAAGCTAATGCCTGTATTTAGCATTGGCCCTTACCTCTCCTGCCCTGTATTTAGCATTGGCCCTTACCTCTCCTGCCCTGTATTTAGCATTGGCCCTTACCGCTCCTGCCCTGTATTTAGCATTGGCCCTTACCTCTCCTGCCCTGTATTTAGCATTGGCCCTTACCTCTCCTGCCCTGTATTTAGCATTGGCCCTTACCGCTCCTGCCCTGTATTTAGCATTGGCCCTTACCGCTCCTGCCCTGTATTTAGCATTGGCCCTTACCTCTCCTTCCCTGTATTTAGCATTGGCCCTTACCTCTCCTGCCCTGTACAGTATTTAGCATTGGCCCTTACCGCTCCTGCCCTGTATTTAGCATTGGCCCTTACCTCTCCTGCCCTGTATTTAGCATTGGCCCTTACCTCTCCTTCCCTGTACAGTATTTAGCATTGGCCCTTACCTCTCCTGCCCTGTATTTAGCATTGGCCCTTACCTCTCCTTCCCTGTACAGTATTTAGCATTGGCCCTTACCTCTCCTGCCCTGTACAGTATTTAGCATTGGCCCTTACCTCTCCTGCCCTGTACAGTATTTAGCATTGGCCCTTACCGCTCCTGCCCTGTACAGTATTTAGCATTGGCCCTTACCTCTCCTTCCCTGTACAGTATTTAGCATTGGCCCTTACCTCTCCTGCCCTGTACAGTATTTAGCATTGGCCCTTACCTCTCCTGCCCTGTACAGTATTTAGCATTGGCCCTTACCTCTCCTGCCCTGTACAGTATTTAGCATTGGCCCTTACCTCTCCTGCCCTGTACAGTATTTAGCATTGGCCCTTACCTCTCCTTCCCTGTACAGTATTTAGCATTGGCCCTTACCTCTCCTGCCCTGTACAGTATTTAGCATTGGCCCTTACCTCTCCTGCCCTGTATTAAGCATTGGCCCTTACCGCTCCTGCCCTGTATTTAGCATTGGCCCTTACCTCTCCTGCCCTGTATTTAGCATTGGCCCTTACCTCTCCTGCCCTGTACAGTATTTAGCATTGGCCCTTACCTCTCCTGCCCTGTATTTAGCATTGGCCCTTACCGCTCCTGCCCTGTATTTAGCATTGGCCCTTACCGCTCCTGCCCTGTATTTAGCATTGGCCCTTACCTCTCCTGCCCTGTACAGTATTTAGCATTGGCCCTTACCGCTCCTGCCCTGTATTTAGCATTGGCCCTTACCTCTCCTGCCCTGTATTTAGCATTGGCCCTTACCTCTCCTGCCCTGTACAGTATTTAGCATTGGCCCTTACCTCTCCTGCCCTGTACAGTATTTAGCATTGGCCCTTACCTCTCCTGCCCTGTACAGTATTTAGCATTGGCCCTTACCTCTCCTGCCCTGTACAGTATTTAGCATTGGCCCTTACCTCTCCTTCCCTGTACAGTATTTAGCATTGGCCCTTACCTCTCCTGCCCTGTACAGTATTTAGCATTGGCCCTTACCTCTCCTGCCCTGTACAGTATTTAGCATTGGCCCTTACCGCTCCTGCCCTGTATTTAGCATTGGCCCTTACCTCTCCTGCCCTGTATTTAGCATTGGCCCTTACCTCTCCTGCCCTGTACAGTATTTAGCATTGGCCCTTACCTCTCCTGCCCTGTACAGTATTTAGCATTGGCCCTTACCGCTCCTGCCCTGTACAGTATTTAGCATTGGCCCTTACCTCTCCTGCCCTGTATTTAGCATTGGCCCTTACCGCTCCTGCCCTGTATTTAGCATTGGCCCTTACCGCTCCTGCCCTGTATTTAGCATTGGCCCTTACCTCTCCTGCCCTGTACAGTATTTAGCATTGGCCCTTACCTCTCCTGCCCTGTACAGTATTTAGCATTGGCCCTTACCTCTCCTGCCCTGTATTTAGCATTGGCCCTTACCGCTCCTGCCCTGTACAGTATTTAGCATTGGCCCTTACCTCTCCTGCCCTGTACAGTATTTAGCATTGGCCCTTACCTCTCCTGCCCTGTACAGTATTTAGCATTGGCCCTTACCTCTCCTGCCCTGTACAGTATTTAGCATTGGCCCTTACCTCTCCTTCCCTGTACAGTATTTAGCATTGGCCCTTACCTCTCCTGCCCTGTACAGTATTTAGCATTGGCCCTTACCTCTCCTGCCCTGTACAGTATTTAGCATTGGCCCTTACCGCTCCTGCCCTGTACAGTATTTAGCATTGGCCCTTACCTCTCCTTCCCTGTACAGTATTTAGCATTGGCCCTTACCTCTCCTGCCCTGTACAGTATTTAGCATTGGCCCTTACCTCTCCTGCCCTGTACAGTATTTAGCATTGGCCCTTACCTCTCCTGCCCTGTACAGTATTTAGCATTGGCCCTTACCTCTCCTGCCCTGTACAGTATTTAGCATTGGCCCTTACCGCTCCTGCCCTGTACAGTATTTAGCATTGGCCCTTACCTCTCCTGCCCTGTATTTAGCATTGGCCCTTACCGCTCCTGCCCTGTATTTAGCATTGGCCCTTACCTCTCCTGCCCTGTATTTAGCATTGGCCCTTACCGCTCCTGCCCTGTATTTAGCATTGGCCCTTACCGCTCCTGCCCTGTATTTAGCATTGGCCCTTACCTCTCCTGCCCTGTATTTAGCATTGGCCCTTACCTCTCCTGCCCTGTACAGTATTTAGCATTGGCCCTTACCTCTCCTGCCCTGTACAGTATTTAGCATTGGCCCTTACCGCTCCTGCCCTGTACAGTATTTAGCATTGGCCCTTACCTCTCCTGCCCTGTATTTAGCATTGGCCCTTACCTCTCCTTCCCTGTACAGTATTTAGCATTGGCCCTTACCTCTCCTTCCCTGTACAGTATTTAGCATTGGCCCTTACCGCTCCTGCCCTGTACAGTATTTAGCATTGGCCCTTACCTCTCCTGCCCTGTACAGTATTTAGCATTGGCCCTTACCTCTCCTGCCCTGTACAGTATTTAGCATTGGCCCTTACCTCTCCTGCCCTGTACAGTATTTAGCATTGGCCCTTACCGCTCCTGCCCTGTACAGTATTTAGCATTGGCCCTTACCTCTCCTGCCCTGTATTTAGCATTGGCCCTTACCGCTCCTGCCCTGTATTTAGCATTGGCCCTTACCTCTCCTGCCCTGTACAGTATTTAGCATTGGCCCTTACCTCTCCTGCCCTGTATTTAGCATTGGCCCTTACCTCTCCTGCCCTGTACAGTATTTAGCATTGGCCCTTACCTCTCCTGCCCTGTACAGTATTTAGCATTGGCCCTTACCTCTCCTGCCCTGTACAGTATTTAGCATTGGCCCTTACCTCTCCTGCCCTGTATTTAGCATTGGCCCTTACCGCTCCTGCCCTGTACAGTATTTAGCATTGGCCCTTACCTCTCCTGCCCTGTATTTAGCAATGGCCCTTACCGCTCCTGCCCTGTATTTAGCATTGGCCCTTACCGCTCCTGCCCTGTACAGTATTTAGCATTGGCCCTTACCTCTCCTGCCCTGTATTTAGCATTGGCCCTTACCGCTCCTGCCCTGTATTTAGCATTGGCCCTTACCTCTCCTGCCCTGTATTTAGCATTGGCCCTTACCGCTCCTGCCCTGTATTTAGCATTGGCCCTTACCTCTCCTGCCCTGTATTTAGCATTGGCCCTTACCTCTCCTGCCCTGTATTTAGCATTGGCCCTTACCTCTCCTGCCCTGTACAGTATTTAGCATTGGCCCTTACCTCTCCTGCCCTGTACAGTATTTAGCATTGGCCCTTACCGCTCCTGCCCTGTACAGTATTTAGCATTGGCCCTTACCTCTCCTGCCCTGTATTTAGCATTGGCCCTTACCTCTCCTGCCCTGTACAGTATTTAGCATTGGCCCTTACCGCTCCTGCCCTGTATTTAGCATTGGCCCTTACCTCTCCTGCCCTGTATTTAGCATTGGCCCTTACCTCTCCTTCCCTGTACAGTATTTAGCATTGGCCCTTACCTCTCCTTCCCTGTACAGTATTTAGCATTGGCCCTTACCTCTCCTTCCCTGTACAGTATTTAGCATTGGCCCTTACCGCTCCTGCCCTGTACAGTATTTAGCATTGGCCCTTACCGCTCCTGCCCTGTACAGTATTTAGCATTGGCCCTTACCTCTCCTGCCCTGTACAGTATTTAGCATTGGCCCTTACCGCTCCTGCCCTGTACAGTATTTAGCATTGGCCCTTACCGCTCCTGCCCTGTACAGTATTTAGCATTGGCCCTTACCTCTCCTGCCCTGTACAGTATTTAGCATTGGCCCTTACCTCTCCTGCCCTGTACAGTATTTAGCATTGGCCCTTACCTCTCCTGCCCTGTATTTAGCATTGGCCCTTACCTCTCCTGCCCTGTACAGTATTTAGCATTGGCCCTTACCGCTCCTGCCCTGTACAGTATTTAGCATTGGCCCTTACCTCTCCTGCCCTGTACAGTATTTAGCATTGGCCCTTACCGCTCCTGCCCTGTATTTAGCATTGGCCCTTACCGCTCCTGCCCTGTACAGTATTTAGCATTGGCCCTTACCGCTCCTGCCCTGTATTTAGCATTGGCCCTTACCGCTCCTGCCCTGTACAGTATTTAGCATTGGCCCTTACCGCTCCTGCCCTGTACAGTATTTAGCATTGGCCCTTACCGCTCCTGCCCTGTATTTAGCATTGGCCCTTACCTCTCCTGCCCTGTATTTAGCATTGGCCCTTACCTCTCCTGCCCTGTACAGTATTTAGCATTGGCCCTTACCTCTCCTGCCCTGTACAGTATTTAGCATTGGCCCTTACCTCTCCTGCCCTGTATTTAGCATTGGCCCTTACCTCTCCTGCCCTGTACAGTATTTAGCATTGGCCCTTACCGCTCCTGCCCTGTACAGTATTTAGCATTGGCCCTTACCGCTCCTGCCCTGTACAGTATTTAGCATTGGCCCTTACCGCTCCTGCCCTGTACAGTATTTAGCATTGGCCCTTACCTCTCCTGCCCTGTACAGTATTTAGCATTGGCCCTTACCGCTCCTGCCCTGTACAGTATTTAGCATTGGCCCTTACCTCTCCTGCCCTGTACAGTATTTAGCATTGGCCCTTACCGCTCCTGCCCTGTACAGTATTTAGCATTGGCCCTTACCGCTCCTGCCCTGTACAGTATTTAGCATTGGCCCTTACCGCTCCTGCCCTGTACAGTATTTAGCATTGGCCCTTACCTCTCCTGCCCTGTACAGTATTTAGCATTGGCCCTTACCGCTCCTGCCCTGTACAGTATTTAGCATTGGCCCTTACCTCTCCTGCCCTGTACAGTATTTAGCATTGGCCCTTACCTCTCCTGCCCTGTACAGTATTTAGCATTGGCCCTTACCGCTCCTGCCCTGTATTTAGCATTGGCCCTTACCGCTCCTGCCCTGTACAGTATTTAGCATTGGCCCTTACCGCTCCTGCCCTGTATTTAGCATTGGCCCTTACCGCTCCTGCCCTGTACAGTATTTAGCATTGGCCCTTACCGCTCCTGCCCTGTACAGTATTTAGCATTGGCCCTTACCTCTCCTGCCCTGCCCTGTATTTAGCATTGGCCCTTACCTCTCCTGCCCTGTACAGTATTTAGCATTGGCCCTTACCGCTCCTGCCCTGTATTTAGCATTGGCCCTTACCGCTCCTGCCCTGTACAGTATTTAGCATTGGCCCTTACCGCTCCTGCCCTGTACAGTATTTAGCATTGGCCCTTACCTCTCCTGCCCTGTACAGTATTTAGCATTGGCCCTTACCTCTCCTGCCCTGTACAGTATTTAGCATTGGCCCTTACCGCTCCTGCCCTGTATTTAGCATTGGCCCTTACCGCTCCTGCCCTGTACAGTATTTAGCATTGGCCCTTACCGCTCCTGCCCTGTACAGTATTTAGCATTGGCCCTTACCGCTCCTGCCCTGTACAGTATTTAGCATTGGCCCTTACCGCTCCTGCCCTGTACAGTATTTAGCATTGGCCCTTACCTCTCCTGCCCTGTACAGTATTTAGCATTGGCCCTTACCGCTCCTGCCCTGTACAGTATTTAGCATTGGCCCTTACCTCTCCTGCCCTGTACAGTATTTAGCATTGGCCCTTACCTCTCCTGCCCTGTACAGTATTTAGCATTGGCCCTTACCGCTCCTGCCCTGTATTTAGCATTGGCCCTTACCGCTCCTGCCCTGTACAGTATTTAGCATTGGCCCTTACCGCTCCTGCCCTGTATTTAGCATTGGCCCTTACCGCTCCTGCCCTGTACAGTATTTAGCATTGGCCCTTACCGCTCCTGCCCTGTACAGTATTTAGCATTGGCCCTTACCTCTCCTGCCCTGCCCTGTATTTAGCATTGGCCCTTACCTCTCCTGCCCTGTACAGTATTTAGCATTGGCCCTTACCGCTCCTGCCCTGTATTTAGCATTGGTCCTTACCGCTCCTGCCCTGTACAGTACTTAGCATTGGCCCTTACCGCTCCTGCCCTGTACAGTATTTAGCATTGGCCCTTACCTCTCCTGCCCTGTACAGTATTTAGCATTGGCCCTTACCTCTCCTGCCCTGTACAGTATTTAGCATTGGCCCTTACCTCTCCTGCCCTGTATTTAGCATTGGCCCTTACCGCTCCTGCCCTGTACAGTATTTAGCATTGGCCCTTACCTCTCCTGCCCTGTATTTAGCATTGGCCCTTACCGCTCCTGCCCTGTATTTAGCATTGGCCCTTACCTCTCCTGCCCTGTATTTAGCATTGGCCCTTACCGCTCCTGCCCTGTATTTAGCATTGGCCCTTACCTCTCCTGCCCTGTATTTAGCATTGGCCCTTACCTCTCCTGCCCTGTACAGTATTTAGCATTGGCCCTTACCTCTCCTGCCCTGTACAGTATTTAGCATTGGCCCTTACCTCTCCTGCCCTGTACAGTATTTAGCATTGGCCCTTACCTCTCCTGCCCTGTACAGTATTTAGCATTGGCCCTTACCGCTCCTGCCCTGTATTTAGCATTGGCCCTTACCGCTCCTGCCCTGTATTTAGCATTGGCCCTTACCTCTCCTGCCCTGCCCTGTATTTAGCATTGGCCCTTACCTCTCCTGCCCTGCCCTGTATTTAGCATTGGCCCTTACCTCTCCTGCCCTGTACAGTATTTAGCATTGGCCCTTACCGCTCCTGCCCTGTACAGTATTTAGCATTGGCCCTTACCTCTCCTGCCCTGTACAGTATTTAGCATTGGCCCTTACCGCTCCTGCCCTGTACAGTATTTAGCATTGGCCCTTACCGCTCCTGCCCTGCCGTGTCCCACATCTGCAGTGCCATTTGGCTCTTGTCTACGGTAATAGTCTTCACGCTGTAGTCTATGCCTGGATTTATGAAACAGAAAAGTCAGATTGTACAAAAGTGTGCGTCAGGATTATGTTTTGTGTTGAGAGAAACGCACCCACTGTGGCAGACGTCCCGGGACGGAAGCTCTCGTCACAAAATCGTTTAAGTATGGAGGTCTTTCCCACGCTGGAGTTGCCCACTGTGATGATTTTGAAAAGGCGGTCTGGGGGCGACGGGCTGCCTTCCTCCTGCCAAACAGAACATCATCTGTTTATTTTCAACAGATTTAAGACATCCCAGGTGCGGGAATTACAATGGGAAACGGTGAACTCTCAAGACCATTCCATCTTTTAAAGCTGGGGTGTGTAACTTTCCCTCACTCTAAAAACAGCTTGGTTCCATCACAAGTTTTCATGTTTTTTCTAAATTTGGCGCTGCAGGATATGAGCTTCTTTGGGTTCTTGGGGACACTGCACAAGGATAAAATATGAGGTAATAATGTTTTTTATCTTCATCGGACACATTCTGATTCTGTTGCTTTATTTTCTCGTTCCAAAAGAGACATTTCTTGAATCTCTTTAACAAGATCAATTTGCTTTGTCCCGTCGTCAAATCTAATTTTAAGGCTCAGTCACAATGTGCTCAAATTAAGATACATTTAGCTAAATTCGATTTTTGGCTTATTTTTCATCACTTTTGCAGTGTACATACATTAGTTAATGCATTAAACTAAAAAGTCATATTTCTTTTACCATAAACTTGACATATTTGTAACCTCTGCCATTTACTACGCTGCCGTGTGCTGGGCCCCGGGCAGGAGGAGGTGAGGGACAGGAGGCCCCTGGACTCTGTGGAGGAGGTGAGGGACAGGAGGCCCCTGGACTCTGTGGAGGAGGTGAGGGACAGGAGGCCCCTGGACTCTGTGGAGGAGGTGAGGGACAGGAGGCCCCTGGACTCTGTGGAGGAGGTGAGGGACAGGAGGCCCCTGGACTCTGTGGAGGAGGTGAGGGACAGGAGGCCCCTGGACTCTGTGGAGGAGGTGAGGGACAGGAGGCCCCTGGACTCTGTGGAGGAGGTGAGGGACAGGAGGCCCCTGGACTCTGTGGAGGAGGTGAGGGACACGAGGCCCCTGGACTCTGTGGAGGAGGTGAGGGACACGAGGCCCCTGGACTCTGTGGAGGAGGTGAGGGACACGAGGCCCCTGGACTCTGTGGAGGAGGTGAGGGACACGAGGCCCCTGGACTCTGTGGAGGAGGTGAGGGACACGAGGCCCCTGGACTCTGTGGAGGAGGTGAGGGACAGGAGGCCCCTGGACTCTGTGGAGGAGGTGAGGGACAGGAGGCCCCTGGACTCTGTGGAGGAGGTGAGGGACAGGAGGCCCCTGGACTCTGTGGAGGAGGTGAGGGACAGGAGGCCCCTGGACTCTGTGGAGGAGGTGAGGGACAGGAGGCCCCTGGACTCTGTGGAGGAGGTGAGGGACAGGAGGCCCCTGGACTCTGTGGAGGAGGTGAGGGACAGGAGGCCCCTGGACTCTGTGGAGGAGGTGAGGGACAGGAGGCCCCTGGACTCTGTGGAGGAGGTGAGGACAGGAGCCCCTGGACTCTGTGGAGGAGGTGAGGGACAGAGGCCCCTGGACTCTGTGGAGGAGGTGAGGGACAGGAGGCCCCTGGACTCTGTGGAGGAGGTGAGGGACAGGAGGCCCCTGGACTCTGTGGAGGAGGTGAGGGACAGGAGGCCCCTGGACTCTGTGGAGGAGGTGAGGGACAGGAGGCCCCTGGACTCTGTGGAGGAGGTGAGGGACAGGAGGCCCCTGGACTCTGTGGAGGAGGTGAGGGACAGGAGGCCCCTGGACTCTGTGGAGGAGGTGAGGGACAGGAGGCCCCTGGACTCTGTGGAGGAGGTGAGGGACAGGAGGCCCCTGGACTCTGTGGAGGAGGTGAGGGACAGGAGGCCCCTGGACTCTGTGGAGGAGGTGAGGGACAGGAGGCCCCTGGACTCTGTGGAGGAGGTGAGGGACAGGAGGCCCCTGGACTCTGTGGGAGGAGAGGCCCTGACTCGTGGGGAGGTGAGGGACAGGAGGCCCCTGGACTCTGTGGAGGAGGTGAGGGACAGGAGGCCCCTGGACTCGTGGAGGAGGTGAGGGACAGGAGGCCCCTGGACTCTGTGGAGGAGGTGAGGGACAGAGGCCCCTGGACTCTGTGGAGGAGGTGAGGGACAGGAGGCCCCTGGACTCTGTGGAGGAGGTGAGGGACAGGAGGCCCCTGGACTCTGTGGAGGAGGTGAGGGACAGGAGGCCCCTGGACTCTGTGGAGGAGGTGAGGGACAGGAGGCCCCTGGACTCTGTGGAGGAGGTGAGGGACAGGAGGCCCCTGGACTCTGTGGAGGAGGTGAGGGACAGGAGGCCCCTGGACTCTGTGGAGGAGGTGAGGGACAGGAGGCCCCTGGACTCTGTGGAGGAGGTGAGGGACAGGAGGCCCCTGGACTCTGTGGAGGAGGTGAGGGACAGGAGGCCCCTGGACTCTGTGGAGGAGGTGAGGGACAGGAGGCCCCTGGCTCTGGAGGCCTCTGTGGAGGAGGTGAGGGACAGGAGGCCCCTGGACTCTGTGGAGGAGGTGAGGGACAGGAGGCCCCTGGACTCTGTGGAGGAGGTGAGGGACAGGAGGCCCCTGGACTCTGTGGAGGAGGTGAGGGACAGGAGGCCCCTGGACTCTGTGGAGGAGGTGAGGGACAGGAGGCCCCTGGACTGACTGTGGAGGAGGTGAGGGACAGGAGGCCCCTGGACTCTGTGGAGGAGGTGAGGGACAGGAGGCCCCTGGACTCTGTGGAGGAGGTGAGGGACAGGAGGCCCCTGGACTCTGTGGAGGAGGTGAGGGACAGGAGGCCCCTGGACTCTGTGGAGGAGGTGAGGGACAGGAGGCCCCTGGACTCTGTGGAGGAGGTGAGGGACAGGAGGCCCCTGGACTCTGTGGAGGAGGTGAGGGACAGGAGGCCCCTGGACTCTGTGGAGGAGGTGAGGGACAGGAGGCCCCTGGACTCTGTGGAGGAGGTGAGGGACAGGAGGCCCCTGGACTCTGTGGAGGAGGTGAGGGACAGGAGGCCCCTGGACTCTGTGGAGGAGGTGAGGGACAGGAGGCCCCTGGACTCTGTGGAGGAGGTGAGGGACAGGAGGCCCCTGGACTCTGTGGAGGAGGTGAGGGACAGGAGGCCCCTGGACTCTGTGGAGGAGGTGAGGGACAGGAGGCCCCTGGACTCTGTGGAGGAGGTGAGGGACAGGAGGCCCCTGGACTCTGTGGAGGAGGTGAGGGACAGGAGGCCCCTGGACTCTGTGGAGGAGGTGAGGGACAGGAGGCCCCTGGACTCTGTGGGGAGGTGAGGGACAGGAGGCCCCTGGACTCTGTGGAGGAGGTGAGGGACAGGAGGCCCCTGGACTCTGTGGAGGAGGTGAGGGACAGGAGGCCCCTGGACTCTGTGGAGGAGGTGAGGGACAGGAGGCCCCTGGACTCTGTGGAGGAGGTGAGGGACAGGAGGCCCCTGGACTCTGTGGAGGAGGTGAGGGACAGGAGGCCCCTGGACTCTGTGGAGGAGGTGAGGGACAGGAGGCCCCTGGACTCTGTGGAGGAGGTGAGGGACAGGAGGCCCCTGGACTCTGTGGAGGAGGTGAGGGACAGGAGGCCCCTGGACTCTGTGGAGGAGGTGAGGGACAGGAGGCCCCTGGACTCTGTGGAGGAGGTGAGGGACAGGAGGCCCCTGGACTCTGTGGAGGAGGTGAGGGACAGGAGGCCCCTGGACTCTGTGGAGGAGGTGAGGGACAGGAGGCCCCTGGACTCTGTGGAGGAGGTGAGGGACAGGAGGCCCCTGGACTCTGTGGAGGAGGTGAGGGACAGGAGGCCCCTGGACTCTGTGGAGGAGGTGAGGGACAGGAGGTTCTAGCCAAAGCCACCTCCATCATGAACAACACCTCCTGCACAGGACTGTAGAGGAGCTGAGGAGCTCCTTCAGTGGAAGAAGGAGCTGGGCCTTTATCCCCACCGCTGTCAGACTGTACAATAAGTCACTTTAAGTCACTGTATATGACTGACAAACCTGCACCGATATTGACACTGTTTGTGATTGACACTTTGAAATTGCCACTTTTGTATGTACATAATGATCCTGCATTAACATGGTGCACAGTCTGAGTGTTTCTGTCCGTGCCAAATGTGACAAGTACATTTCTCCTTTGTGAGATAAATAAAGCTTATCTTATCTTATCTTAACCGAGGGTGCCATGGGGTTAATTTCAGCAGAGTCAAATAGATTTCGCTTTAGCCACGCTTACGGTGGTGGTGGTCTCCTTTCCCACCGGCTGCCCTCTCGGAGACAGAGGGGCCTCGTTGCTTGGCGGCTGTAGTATGTCACTCATGACCAGGTCCATGCTCTCCTCCTCGGCCTCGCTGCACTGCCTCAGGGGCCTCTGCAGCTGGCAGCGAGTGTGCAGCAGGTGTGGGAGGTGGTCTTCTTCTATGGAGATGATCCTTTGGAAATGTCCGCGCTTCACTTCTGCGCTGATGCTGGCCTTTGTGGACTCTCTGCAGGAGTCTTCCTCCTCCTCACTGCAAGTAAACAACACATGAGCATAAGTTGAAGGTTCTACAGACCAAAGTAAAGATCGATACTTTATTGATCCCCGCAGGAGAAATTTATCTCCAGCAGCAGATTTTTAGTTTTACAGGAGCAGTTTAGAACAGAAATGAGCCAAAAGGAGAAATGCAGTATAGCAGGTAGTAGCAGGGGAGCTAATGTATACTTAAATAGTCCCAGAGGTGGTAAATAACCAATTATTTTTTATTTATGTTTTCTGGTATTATCATATTATTAGATAGATACTTTATTGACCCCCTGTAGGAGAGATTCATGTGTCCAGTAGCAGCAGAAACACATCCATTCATACAAACAAAACTAATAAATGTCTAAAAATAGCTATTGGTTATTGGTAATTTTCAGACAATATTTTTCTTTGTTTCTGTTTTTTTACGCTTTCCTCAACTGTCCAGGCCGTCTGCTTTTTGCTTGAGTTCATCTTGTTATTTTGTCTGGATATTTGGCATTAAACTACCCTTCACTCAACTAAGTGACGAGTTATATCTGTAAAGAGGTGTTAAAAAATCAGTTTTTAAGCAACGAAATGATCCTTTAATGGTACAGTATGGTTTGTACTTCAACAGGGACAGAGTACAATTAGAGATGCGTAGTAAAAGGTTTTAGCAGCAGAGCTAATCTACAGCTGCAGTCCCAGTAGCAGGTTTTAGCAGCAGAGCTAATCTACAGCTGCAGTCCCAGAGCTGGATGTTGTAAAACAGATGGATACACGAGGATTCATCAGCAGACAGAAGATTACAGTCGGATTTAGCATTTATAATAAAACTACCCAGGCCTCATTCTTCAACTTCGCTCTATACATACATTTACCGAGCTCACAGACAGACAGACAGACACATTCATGCTGAGCTCACAGACAGACAGACAGACACATTCATGCTGAGCTCACAGACAGACAGACAGACACATTCATGCTGAGCTCACAGACAGACAGACAGACAGACACATTCATACTGAGCTCACAGACAGACAGACAGACACATTCATACTGAGCTCACAGACAGACAGACACATTCATGCTGAGCTCACAGACAGACAGACAGACAGACACATTCATACTGAGCTCACAGACAGACAGACAGACAGACAGACAGACACATTCATACTGAGCTCACAGACAGACAGACAGACACATTCATGCTGAGCTCACAGACAGACAGACAGACACATTCATGCTGAGCTCACAGACAGACAGACACATTCATGCTGAGCTCACAGACAGACAGACACATTCATACTGAGCTCACAGACAGAGACAGAGACAGACACACACACACACAGACACACACAGACACAGACAGACACAGACAGACACACACAGACACACACAGACAGAAGTTAGCGGCTGTACCTTCTGAACACATCTGAAGAGGAGCCTTTGGAAGTGCCAGAGTAACTCGACGTTTGCAGTGAACTGGAACTTCTCTTTGGCTTCTGTTTAAAGAAATAATAAAATCAGTAACCTTTAACATGTGTCCTGTTAACTAGTACGACACAAACCTGATACAAAATGTCTCTCTCATCTCGCAAATATTTGTTCATTTCTCTGGAAACAAAAGTTGATAAAAATACAGAAATGTGTGGTTTGTGTCTAATAAAGAGAAGGGTTTAGATCTGACCTCATCAGATCCAGCTGTTTCATCAAACTGGCTCTTTCCCGCTGAAGGCCTTCACTTAGTCGATAGATTTCACTGTCGGGAATAAAACAAAACACAGAGAAATTATACGACATAGAAGAAGATATATTAAAGTGGTTTCCTCGACCATTTGATTGATCACTTTTTGAGTCACTACATCGACCTGAAGCTTGGATCTGAAATCTGCCTCATCAAACTGGATCTCAACCATTTGGTCTTAGCAAAAATAATTATATATATATATATTTTTGAGTGAGCATTATAGGATTAAATACATTTATTAACAGCATTCATGGATTAAAGGCCGACACTAAATAATACGCTCAAAGCTAATAATGGATCGAATGGAACAGAACGAGAGACTCTGCAGTATGGAAAAAACACTGCAAAAAATGATAAAATATGAGGTAACAATTGCTTGAATCGAGCGGTTTTTATCTAAATCAAAGTTCGTTCTGACTGCGTTAAAACCAGTTGCTTTATTTTCTCATTCCAAGAGACATTTCTTTTATCTTTTTAAAACCAGGTCATTTTTGCTGAAGCGACAGTGGCTCAGTTGTAGAGCATTGGCCTTTGGGGCCTGAAGGTTGTGGGTTTCGAGCCCACCATAAGATCGACTTGAGGACTCCCACTGATGACTGCTGTCGTTGTGTCCTTAGGCAAGACACTTAACCCCACTTTGCCTGAAGCCCCCACTGAAAGATCTCAGCTCCTGTGGACTCAGCAGCCATTGGCAAATCTAGTTTTAAGGCAGTCAGGATGTGTTCAGATACATTTTTGCCAGATTTGAGAATTTTCTGACTTATTTTTCATCACTTTTTGCAGTGAGGATGGTAAAAGTGTAAAAGTGTAACTGGTGATCATTATAAAAGCATCACAGAAGTTTCCTGTTGGAGCGTCAGACTCACAGCTCCTTCTCCTCGTGCAGCCGTGACGCCTGCTCCTGGAGCAGGAGGAGCTGCTCTTGGGCCACACTCAGCTCTCTGCTGCTCTGCTCCAGCTCCTGCAGCAGCTCCTCGTTCGTCTGCTTCAGCTTCACGTTCTCCACTTTGGTCTCGTGTTTTTCTCCCTGCAGGTCCTGGCACTGGTGCTCCAGCTACAAGCAACAACTCATCAGTACATACACTGCAAAAAGTGAGGAAAAATTTATCTTACTCTGAGCACATTCTGAGAGTCAAAGGGACAAAAGCAAATGATCTTGTTTTAAAAGATACAGAAATGTCTTCCATGGAATGAGTCAAAATAAAGTTCTTGAATAAAATAATAAATTGCTTTGTCCCATTGTTTTCACACAGAATGTACTCAAATTTAGATTAAAAACACTAGACACTGTACATTTCTCCTTTGTGAGATAAATAAAGCATATCTTATCTTATCTTATCTTAAATCCATTTTTAACCTCATATTTGATAATTTTTTGCAGTGTGATGACAAATAACTTATTAATGATTCACTGAGATGTGAATGTTTCCACAGGACCCTGCAGAGCCCAACACACACTCAGGCTAAACAAAAATAAAATCTGTGCAATAAAACAAAAGGAAAAGTCCAAGACACTGAGTTTTAAAGTCATAACTGTGCGTTTGTTATGTTTTGTCTTGTCTGTATGTTTTAAACGGGTTAGAGTCTGAAATAAAGTTTAATTGAAAAAAGCGGTGTCACTGGATGAAACACGCCCAGAGTTCAATGAAGGGAGTTGGAGGTAGAAAAAGAATGACATCAAAATAAAGTAAATATAGATACAGAAAAAGTCGCAAAGTCATGAAGAGCCGAAACTACAGATTCTTAGTAGCCTGGCCTTACCACACCATAGTACTCATTTCATTTCAGACGTGTAGTGAAATAATTATTGACGGGAGTTTACGGATGGTTATGGCCAGGCTAGAAAATTACACGTTCAAAACTAAAAATTATCACATTGACTACACTGGTCGCACCACACCATAGTACAGATTACATTTATACTAAGGTCTGGATTGTCTCCATTGACTCCGTGAACAGGTGGGAGGGGCTAACTCCTTTTACAGATTAAACCATTGGATCCGAGTTTACCGTGACGTTTGTAATGAGCCCGAGTGAGTCGTTAGCATTTAGCATTTAGCCTAGCTTTAGCCATCTCCTTTGCCGCTAACGGAGCCCGTGGGGAGCAGCGCCACAATCTTTTCCAGAGATTACATTTGCTAAACATTCCTCTTGCTCTGTCACCCACACAGTGTTGCCAACTCCTCAGTAAGGAAAGTAGCTATTGGCTGTCCCAAAAGTCGCTAGAAGTCGCTAAATGACGTCATCGCCTAATTTGCATAATTGGCAATTTGCAAATAACTGTAACGGACGCTGTAGCAGAGAGGAATAACGTCGTGGGAGAGACAAAAGTGAGTAAAAAACACCCTAAATATGTTTAGAACTACAAATGTACAAAAATAATTTCAACATTAACAACATTTAATGATTTTAATGCTTTGTCTAGATCTGTCGCTTGTCGCTTTTTTGAAAAAAAGTCGCTATAGGGTCTGAAAAGTCGCTAAATCTAGCGACAAAGTCGCTAAGTTGGCAACACTGCACCCACATCTAACTACAACACCCGCCTCCCGCGCTCTCTGATTGGTCGGATGGAATTCAACAGATTGTAATCTCAAACACAGGGACCAGACCCAGACGTTACAGCAGGACCTGATGATGGACCTGAGAGTACGGATGGATAAGACCAGGGAAGGACTGAGAGGACTAACAGGATAACAGGAGGATATATCCAGAACATATAGATGCAGTGATCATCCATCGAGGAGCTTATGTTGAACTTAGAAGCATTGCTATTTCCACAGCTGTGAATGATAGACATCAGACATATTCCTCCCATTCTCCTCTCACCCTCTTCTGCTTCTGAAAGAGTTGTTCCATTTCCTTTTCTTTGGAGGAAAGCTGAAGTTCCAAGTCCTGACTCCTCGAGAGAAACTGCTTATAATCCTGCAAGAGTTTTAAGTAAGAAAGATCAGATTTTAACATTTTAACACTGTAAAAACTACTCCACATTACAGATAAATACAAAATACCTGCAAAACAATCTTGTCTTTCTCGTTTTTGATTTGCTGCTCCATTTCTTCGTACAAGCGTCGGATCTCGTTGTCGTGTGTTGCCGCTTTTCTGTGAACAGTGTCCTTTAAGTTAAATCAAAATACTAAAAAACTAGTGTTTATATTTCTTCACATTCGTCTGAAGTCGGATTGTAAAAGACAGAACATAAGAAAATATTGGATTATTCATTTAAAGTTCAGGACTTTTGTTTTTGTCTTTGAAGGAAGTTTGTTTTTGTCGGTGACATTAAAGATGGAGCCAGAACTAAATATTGGATTATTCTTTTAATGTTCAGGACATTATTAAACTAAGAAACCGCTACGACTCCTTTGGTATATTGTGTTTGCTGCTGTGATGTGTTTGACTTTGACGTCGTTAATGAACAGATACATTTCTCGTTATGCAGAGTTTTCCTGACCTTTTCAAAGCACTTTCCATCTCGGTCTTTTCGTGGTCGGCCTCGATGAGCTGTGACGTCACTCGGGCCAAAAAGTCCTCGAAGTTGGACAGAAGGTGCGGCTCGTCCCTGCGGAGCTGAGCCCACAGGCTGCGGATCTCTGTGGGACTGGAACACACACACTTCATGTCCTGATGCCAGTGTCCACAACGGCTTTGGGCAGCAGCCTTTCAGATTTATGCAGATATGTGATTTAGATGGTGGATAAAGTGGAATTGTTCCACTTCTTCCTAATTTACCACTAACTCTAAGATTGTGCTTAACTTTTATGGCTGCACCATTGAGAGTTTACTTGTTGGTTCTGTGTCTGTGTGGTTTGGAAACATCACAGATAAAGAAAAGAGAGCTTTAAACAAGGTGCTCCGCTCTGCAAAGAGGACCGTGGGCTGTGAGCTTCCTGTTCTGGAGGTTCTTTATCAATCCAGACTTTTAAAGAAAGCTCTTAGGATTGTTAAAGACTCTTCTGGCCACCCTGGGAAAGCCATGTTCCAGCTTCTTCCCTCTGGCAGAAGATATCGCTCTCTGAGATGCAGGACATCTCGTTACGCTAACAGTTTTTATCCACAGGCTGTTATCAGTGTGAACAGAGCACTTTAATGATTTGCACTTGTTTTGAAACTGTTTTAGTCGATCCATTTCTCAGTGACATTTGTTTACTGTTTTATTTGTTTTATTTCTGTCTTTTAATGTTGTTTTATGTCTGTATTTGTCTGTGCACACTGGAGACTTTTGCTAATGTATTCCTATGTGTTTTTACTGCAAATGGCAAATAAACTGAATCTGAATCTTCCTGAAAATGTGAGACAGGCTTCTTCCCTGACAATGTTTTTTAATGTAGTGTGATTACTGTTAGATTATTTCAATGTTTATTTTCTGTTTTGTGAAGCTCTTGTGTGTGAACCGTGTTATACAGACTTTACTAAAGAAGGCTTTTTTTTTGGCCGTTCAAAATCTGAATGAGACGATTTACTTTGTCATTTCATGTTTTAGAAAGTGAAATAGTATCTTCTGTGGACAATACAGAAATAAGTATGAATGAGTTTTGTTCTTTTTAAGCGTTAAGCCTGTAATTCTAGAGCTACACGGCCATGCAATTGTAAAGAACATGAAGTGTCTCAAACATTCTAATGAATCCTATTGTTGTGTGATACATAGTGGAACAATTATATCCTTTTGCATTATCGATATCTCCTTTAAAATCTAAAACTAGAATAACATTTTTGCACTGGTTTGGTCTCTGCGGCGCTAAGTGAGGTTCATTTCTGTCGTTGTTTGAAAGTCAGATCTTTCTAAAGCCGTAAACCATTTCCTGCGGGTGGTTGAACACAGGAAGATATGATGAAAACAGAAAGTCAGGTACCACAACTTTAATGTCTTCCCCCCCCCCCTCTTCACTGCAAAAACTGATAAGTTCAAAATAGCTCAAAATGTATTTAAATTTTAGCACATTTTAGACTGAGCCTTAAAACAAGATTTGCCGATGAGACAAAGCAGAATGATACAAGAAATGTTGGAGAATCTTGTTTTAACACAGTCAGAATGTGTCCAGTTGATTTAAGCATTTATAACCTCACATTTCATCATTTTTTGCAGTGTTGCGTTTGTTTTACTTGAAGCTTATATCCTTCTGATCCTACGCAGCTCACTTCTCAAAGATGTGGTTGGCTCCGAGACTGTCCATGAGCATGCTGAAGTGTTTCTCCTCCTCATCGTCCGGACGGAGCAGCCTCTTCTCCCACTGGCCCTGGTACACCGCCTCCACGGAGCCGTTACCGGGGCCTCTACAGGGGCCTTTCTCCTCCATGTTTGCCTCTACGCTAATCTTCTGTCCAAACAAGAACTCACCTGGAAAAGCAGCACAAGGTGAGGGGCAGAAACAGCTTTAATCAGCATCACAGATATGACAAGTATCTGCTTTTATCATTCTTAACTCTATGTAATCTTTTGTGTTGTGTGTGACTGTTGCTGCCTCTTGTTCAGGACTTTCTTGAAAATGCGGCGGGATTGTCCTTGTTAAATAAAGCTGTGAATATCTATGATGTCTGTTATTGGTGTAGAAGTGGGAAGATAATCTCACTGGACCACTCTGCGTATGATGGATGTGATTGCAAATATAGCTTCACAGTTAAGCAGTGATTCAATAAATGCAGAATTTAATTAAAATGGTAAACTTTTCTCGCATGTTTGTGGGAAGTTTTACAGCATTTTTCCACCAAACCAACATGATAAAGACAGGTAAATGAATGTATCGCCTGAATATAGAAAACCAGATCAATATCATGTGAGATTGTTTTAAATTTCCTCGACTATAGAGAGACCAAATCTGATAAATTCTATATCTCATGTTATTAAGACGGTGATTTCTGTCAAACTTCCCTCTGTTCCACCAGAATCACAGGACAACAAAAACAGCTAGAAACAAACTTTATTTTTGCCGATGGAAGTAGACAGTCCAGACTTTCTGAATCCTGTTTCATATTTCACACAGTCATAGCCCATAATATTCTGTGGATCTTGAGAATCAGTGAAATCATCAAAAATGGCTGAGTTAAGTGAGAGGACTTGCACAATTGTGGACTGGGTGCAGCTTTGAGTTAAGTGTGAGCTCTGACTGCCCCCGCCGCCCCCCCGACCCAGAAATGGATTGAGGGGAAGAAGATGGATGGATAGATGCACTATTGACGGCAGACTAAATACTTGTTTGCCCCACTCTACATAAAGCTTCATGTGTGGCAAATAAACAGAGAAAGAATTGTATACCTGAATTACCCCATGAGTTAAACAAGTACTTAACCTGTGTACAGTACTTTTAATAACTACACACTGCAAAAAGTGATCAAGAGAAAAATAAGTTAACAATTGCTCAAATTTGACAAAATGTGTCTTAATTTGAGCACATTCTGACTGAGCCTTGAAACAAGATTTGCCGATGGGACAAAGCAAAATGATCTAAAAACAAATACAAGAAATGTCTCCCTTGAGAAAATGAGAAAATAAAGTTATTTAAATAAGAATAAATGGCTTTGTCCCTTTGGAAAACCTGCTCAGAAAGTGCCATAATTGATTTTAAAAAAACCTCTAAATTCAAGCAATTATTACTTCCCATTTCATCATTTTTTGCAGTGTAATAACTTTAAACTTGTAGTAATTGCATATTTCTAAAAGCGCTGACAAACGGTGAGCACATTTCTGTTACGTACTGAAGCCGGTGGAGAACTCTTCCAGGGTGAGGAATCCATTGTGGTCGGCGTCGAGTGAATCGAAGACATTCTCCAGGTCTTCGGGAGTGAGAGGGAGCTCTGCGTTCAGCCGCTGTTCAACAAGAGCAAAACAGCTGCGATTGAAAGAACGCTGACTCAGGGACGTTAAGTACACGCCTCTATTCTGAGCCTGGACACGATGAGGAGAACATGCAACACTGCGACAAAGTATGAAGAGAAGGAGAAAAAACAGAGCTTTAGACTTTGTTTTAAATCTGTGGACGATGGATTTAAGACCTTTTTCTTATTTCAACTTTGTAGAATTTGTGTACACGGATTCTAAAAAAACTAAAAATCTCGCGCTTTAAACTCTGCATCAAAAAACCTCATTTGAATTTTTTTTTTTTTGTTTTTGCACAAATATTTCTGCTATTTTTATTTTAGTTCTTTTTGGTAAATATATATTTCGAAGCTTAAATTTTTTCTACATAATTTTGTGAAAAGCCAGATATAATTGAAGTCACTAATGAAACTTAAACTTAAAATTTAGTGTCATACAAAATCCCTTCTCGAGCAGATTCTTTCAGATTTACTGTCAATAACAAAACATGAAGATTGTAACGAGAGGAATTCCATTAAATGTTGTTATTTTTGGTTGAACATTATTTTCAAAGTATTCTTCTGTACATTATAAAAGCTGTTTTCCCAGAGACTGATAAATGAATTAGTGAGAATTTAGTTCCAGCCCAACATCAGGTCAACAAACAGTAAAACCGGTTTGTGTGTTCCACAGCGGGACAGGCGGACACAGGGCGGAACTTCATTCATAACTTTAATAAAACTCTATACCGCTGTTGTCCTTCGTAAGACCTGACATACACTGCTAAATATGATAAAATGAGGTGATAGTTGTTTGAATCGAGTGGTTTTTACCTTAATCTGAGCATATTCCGAACTGTATTCAGGGCCTGTATCCCCCCCGCTGTCAGACTGTACAACAAGTCACTTTAAGTCACTTGCATTAGGACTGAAAACCTGCACTACTATTGACACTGTTTCTTTAATTGCCATTTAACAAGTTGCACATTTCTTTCTTTTTGCGAAGTGAATCTATCCATGATGTGACATGTACATTTATCCAGTGTGAGGCAGTCAACATGTGCACAGATACATCAAGTCAAAGATTGATTTTTTTAACTTATTTTGTTGGGTTAATGCACAGAAAAGACAGCCGTAGTGGTACTCTGAAAACCAAATCTTGTGACGGGATGAAAGATTCAATGTCAAAGTAATTTCTTTACAGATAAATCAGGTTCAGCCAACAATAACAACACGAAACAGACGTCCAAGATTTAACGCAAAATGTTACAAGAGACATCAGTCCCGCTCTAATCTATAACTAAAAAGGTTTTTCAGTAGATCCTATAATGTCAACAAACAAAACAAAAAAGTCTTTGGTGTTTGCCTTGGCTCGGTTTGGACACAGAAGCACCTGGCATCTTCACACGGTCTATAATTATTGACCACTTAGCAGCAGATGGTGGCCTGCCAGCTCACACAGACTGCTTCGTTCATCATTTGAAGGCGTTGCTGAATTGAAAACATAAAAACAACAACTCAATTCTTTATTTAAACAACTTCTATTCACTTGTTTAATTAGCCACACCTCTGTTACCTAATGTTTACCAAGGCCAGCCAGCTCCGACAAGGACAGTAAAGTCATATCGGGAGTTAAGGAGTATCAGCTGTTCTTGTAAAGCGTATCCTATCTCGCCCTATCTCTAGTGTCACCAAACACATTCACCGCTGTGCCTCTCTCGGAAACCGTCGCCTCTAAAACTGCGACAATAAATAACATTAAAAAACCCCGACAAAGACCAGACACCTCAGCGACAAACGATACATAAACAAAGCATTGTGCGGACTGACGTAATGGTAAATAAAAGCTCGCCGCAATGAGAGGGTGACACATTGTATATTCCAAGCGTCCCCATTTGTCGACACATTAGCATTTACCCAGATCAAAGCCGTGTGTATGAGTCTTTCCATTGATGGTGCGGACAAGAGCGTGGCCCTCGATATCAGAGCAGCACTCAAATCTACACAATAATACCAACGGAGTGGAGACATACTTTGCATAATACTCAAGCTGCTTGTTTTTAGAAGTGGATGGAAAGCTTTAGTGATAGAATATGCATAGAGTGGGAGCCGAGAGGGGTCTAAGTCCAGTGTGTTTTGGTTCGTTAGTGTGCCTTGAGATGTTGTTTATTGGTTCATTTCCAAAGGCACACCAAATACTAGTTAGAATGAAAATGAAAATGAAGTTTCAGCTGGTGGTGTGCAATGTGGCCGTTTTCAATGATCAGGATGTGCCGTGGCTCAGAAAGGTTGGGGAACACTGTCTTTTCTCCAACAATGAAGTAATGGGGCACATTATATGATGGTATTAACTTTAAAATTCAAGCCATAAATCACATCTGTCGAAAACATATAAAAAAGTATTGTATGTTTTTGAATATGTTTTTATTTTTAGTACTATCCATCCATCCATCCATTTTCTTCCCCTTAATCCATTTCTGGGTTGGGGGTGGCAGTCAGAGCACCAGCCCCTCACTGATCCTCCTGCAGGTGCTGAGTCCACAGGAGCTGAGATCTTCCAGTGGGGGCTTCAGGCAAAGTGGGGTTAAGTGTCTTGCCCAAGGACACAACGACAGCAGTCATCAGTGGGAGTCGTGAAGTAGGTCTTACTGTACGGTGGGCTCGAACCCACAACCTTCAGGCTCAAAGGCCAATGCTCTACACACTGAGCCACTGTCGCCCCTTTTTAGTACTATGTCTTTGGTCAACTCCAGTTCTAGCTTAAAAGGTTTTTAAAAAAGTAAAAAGGGCTGAACTGATGCACTTATGTAAATAGTCGAGAGAAAAACCTGTGACAGTGCCCTAGTTTCAGAGAGCTGCTTTTAGCGAGTGCCAACTTTACTTTATAAATGGCTTCATAAATTGTGAGCAGTGAAGCAAACAGGATTTTAAATGAGTCCAAAAGTCATTAAGTGACTTTAGAAAGTCTTTCTGAACATTGAATATTTATATCATCTTGATTGTTCAACGTGAGAAAATTGGCGAACCGGGCACTTCAGTTTTAAATGTATTTTATTGGTATGTACACAATCAACAAATAAAACACAAAAACATTTATAGCCAAGGCTAATTTGCGACGTCCGTCCTTAAAAACACATCTTCACATGATACTGAGGCAGATGTCCCAGAGACAGTTGGTTTCGTGTTTAAAACCAACCCATGTAGAAATGTATTTGGAAGTATTTCATCATTACTGTATAATTAAGAAGTTCTGGCAATCAAAATAGTCTATGGTCAAATAAGATGAACAAAAAATTGGGCACCATTTTGTCTCCAAATGTACTTTTGCTTGATCTCACCAGAAAGTTCCATTTTAACCTCATCGGTCCGTGCGGTCAAGCAGAAGGCTTGGGCATATGTTTTTTTCTGGCTCCGTCTGGGACTCCGTCTGGGACTCCGTCTGGGACTCCGTCTGGGACTCCGTCTGGGACTCCGTCTGGGACTCCGTCTGGGACTCCGTCTGGGACTCTAGATTCTGAGGAGAGGACACAGCACAGATTTTCTTCGGACGACTCTTCCGTGAGTTCCGACTTGCTCTTTTCTCAACAATAGGAGTCGTTATCTCTGTTACTTTTCTTGGTCTTCCCGATCTTGCTTTGACCTCCACTGTCCCCGTTAACTTCCATTTCCGAATTACGTTGCGAACAGAGGGAACTGGTACCTCAAACCGCTTTGCAATTTTCTTGTAGCCTTCTCCTGCTTTGTGGGCATCAATCAATTTCTGTTTCAGGGTTACAGGGAACTGCTTAGAGACCCCCATTGATGACAAGTGTTGGGCAAAGATATGAAGAATGTTTAGCCGTTCTATGAATGTTGCAGACACTCCTGCCAGAGAATCCTTTGTTTACGTTTACCAGGTGACCTTAAAAAAAAAAAGACAACACAGATTAGACAATAATAAGAAATAATTGTAATTATTACATCTAAAATCCTGCAGTAAATAATGCTAACCGGATTGCAAAAGTCAATGTAAATGTCTATAAACTAAAATACACATGTTCTACACATAGACTGTATATATTACATGGCGCTTGTTAAAAAGGTGGTAACACTTCATTATCATTACACACAGACTATCTTAGAGAATGATCTAATTACGGACAAAATCCGTGTTAATCCAAACTCACTCTGAGTAAATATAATGCGATATTTATTTCTAATCACTTAGAAGTATAACATAATCACAATACTTACTTAAATGTCCATAAAACGCAAACAAACAATGAACGAGTGTCCAGTCTCTCTTCTCTTCCTTTTCTCCACGTATTATTTTTCCCAACGCAGTTCTTCCAAATGAATACTTAGCAAACAGCGACCAATGCTAACGGCTTGTTATTGGATTGTTAATAATAATAATATTAAGTTCAAGTTTTAATTGTATGAAGTGTAGTATGACATTTGTAATAGTTAATAAGGGTAAGGTCAGAGTTGTGCGTCAGCCTGAGAGAACTGCGTTGGGGAAAAACGAAAACGCGTCGGCACGATGAAGGGGCGTTCAAGAACACTTCGTAAATCGTAAGATTATAATGCACGGTAAAAAAAAAAAAAAAAAAATCCCAGATTATGAAAATTAATGGAATAATAACAAATAATGTATAAATATAACAATATAACATTTTAACTTCTATCCATGTCTACACTTCATATACATTCAACCAGTGTGCAAACAAAACTAGAGGAAAAATAAGAATAAGTATATATAGAATAAGTATAAGAATTATACTCCTGTGCACAATGTATATTATGTATTATTTATAAGTATTTGTATTTTTAAATACATAAATACCCCTCTTCTTCATCCCCATCATCGCTGTCTGTTGATTTGAAAGCATTTGTCTTTCTACATTAGAATAGATTAAAGTTGTGTTTGATATTTATACATCTTTGTATTTTTGGCACAGCCTTGTATGAAATGTATATTGTATATAGTGGATATGGTCCCAAAAAACATTAAAACACAGGTTTGTCTTATGCTTGTTCTGGATTTGAGCAACATAACAAATGTGAACGCACCCCCAGAGGAAAGGCAGGTCGCAAACTTGAAAACCTCATTCATAGATCTGGTTTTAGCTTATTGAACAATCTTTGGAACTCTCTTCAAACATTTGTAATGAACTTAAAACCAAAGTGAATCCTCTGCACAGGCTTCATTTAAAAACGGATTGAGTTTATGATTTTATTAGTGTAAAAGCTGTGAATTAGAGATGAAGGAAAGGCCAAGTTGCCATGTTGTAATAACAGCTTTGACTATATTCTTTAAATCTTTAGAGTGGCACAGTTCCAGTTGCAAAACCTCTACACATTAAAGAAGCAAACCTCTTCTTTAAAGCCTACACGTTATCATTGTGCCCGTTTGCTCTTTAGAAACACTCTTGCAATGATATTAATATTTCCATTCTGGTCATAAAGTGACAATAGTGGGCGTCCTTGAGCTGGTGGCCTCACCTGCATGTCCCGCCGCGTGATGAAGCCCTTGTTCTCGCTGTCACAGACCTGAAAGAACTCAAGGATAGTGTTTTGTCCCATAGCTTCTCCATTCTTTGTCCAGTCGCCCTCATCTCTGCTCGCCTGGCTTCTCCACGCCGTCCGCACCTTGGATAAGACGGTGCCGCTGCTGCTGTTGTTGCTGGTGGTGGTGGTGGTGGTGGTGGTGGCCATTGCACTTGTAGAAGTTTGGAGTTTTCACATGATGGAGCAGAGGTGCAGAGGGGGGAGCGGCGAGAGGAGGGAAGAGCCACCGCACATCACAGAATCTCACCGCTGTCACTGATGGAGATCTCTAAGCAACCAACGTAGTTCTTTAATCAGTCGATAAAACCTGAGAGAGAGAGAGAGAGAGGATTATAGTCCAGCCCACAACAAATTAATTAAAATACGAGAACAAATCTTTGAATGTCCCAAAGTAAATATCAGTGTAAAGCAGTAATGTAAAACTGTGGGACTAATAAAGATTTAATTCATTCATAAAAGTTATAGAAAGCCTAATTCTTTTAGTGTGAAGAGACAGTACATTATAAAACAAGATAATTGAAGCATTACATTATGTTATAACTGAGATGATTTACAATTTAGCTAAAGATATATTTTATTGATTGATTTCACAAAAGAGAAATGTGCATGTCGCATCATGGATAGAAACAGTCAAGATTGTGCAAAAAGACAGAAATGTGCAACATGTTAAATGCAGGATATATTATGTACAATAAAAAGTGCCAAATTAAAATAATGGCAATCAAGAAACAGTGTCAGTAGAAGTGCAGGTTTTTTTTCAAGCAGCAGCAGAAAATTCAGAAAAGCCAAGAGTTCAGTTCGGCACAAGTCGGGCTGAAACCAACAATTATTTTGATTATCGATTAAACAAGCAATTATTTATTTGCATAATGATATAGTTGTTTATAACACAGATATGCAGGATATAGTTTCATCAAAATTTGACTCCTATCTGGTCAAATCTGGTTATATCTGGTTATATCTGGTCAAATCTGGTCAAATCTGGTCAAATCTGGTCAAATCTGGTCATATTTTGAAACAAAACAATATCAACTGTTGTTTAACTTGTAATTACTGCTCTGGTTGTGTCTTAAAATAACTTAACACATGGATGAGTTTGTGGATACAGAAGTTCCGAAAAAATTGATTAACATAGAAAAAACGTGATTACCGTAATTATGATTGAAATCAAATATGCTGAGATATTTATGAACTTTACATTAGAACTTTACATACATTAATAAAGAAATACAAAAGAATACACACGACTAAGAAGATATCTTATAAACCTTTATTCACCGTTATCTTAACTCTTAATCTTCTTTAAATCGGTCTTGTTTTGTTCTGCACTTTTGAGTTGCCTTGTGTATGAATGGTGCAAAATAAACTTGCCATAGTTGCGCATGTTAGAGCAGAATACAAGGATTCAGCACACAATAAATAAAATCTGATATATGGAATAATAAAGATAATAATGTAAACAACTCTGAAGTTATTTTTGCACTTGGGTCAAAATGAGCCACTTAAGAATTCAGGAGGATTCACATTTACAGATGGTTTACGTTTTATTTTAGCCGCAGAGAAAATAACCAGAATAAATAAAAAAGTTATACCAGTAAGAATAAATTACACATGCTCAGTGCAGGCTCAGCAGTTCTCATTGTACAGTCTGATAGCAGTAATGAAAGAGCTGCGGAACCTCTCTTCACACAAGGGGGGTGGATCAGTCTGTCGCTGAAGCTGCTCTCAAAGTAGTTTTCTGAATACATATCAGGCATTTAAAAAGGTAAATAACAAAAAGAAAGTATAAATGGGCCGTTACATTTAGACGTTTTATTCAAAAGAAAAACATATCTACTGCTGTGAGAACTTATAAATAATGTCTCGACCTCACTACAAAGTCTAAACTAATGACTTTTTGATGTTAGCTGTACGAAACTAGATTATTTATTTATGGACTGCTCTTTAGGTGGTGCTCTGTTGAGACAATGACTCATGTCTAATCCCGGGTGACGTCTCGAGTCAAAACTCTGGGTGAATGTTGAAGTTCAGTTGTGGCTGAGTATTGACCGGCAGCTGAACGGTGTGCGCTGGTTTGGAACGCTGGCCATAGACAGAAGGTGGGCGGACTAATCAAAGCAAGACGTTAGCTGACCCTCATAATTATAGATTTTTTATGACCGAGGAATATGCACTTTTGGTCCCTTTTCCCCACAGCATTTTAAGATATTGAGCAAGAAGCATGACTGGATTCAACAGAGAAAGTCACAAGAACCAAAGCCACATGTCTAGCTATAAAATCTCTATTAAATATGATATTATCTTTTAAGGATTTCGTCTCTACTCTTTTTAACAGTGACAGTGACTCAGTTTGGACCTTCTCCACAGACTCCCACTGACGCTGTCCTTGTGTCCTTGGGCAAGACACTTAACCCACTTTGCCAATAAGGAGCGCGGAAGTGATGTTCACTGCTTGCCTTGATGTGTGTATGTGTATAGGTATGTGTGTGTGTGTGTATGTGTGTCTATATGTATATGTGAATGTGTATATGTCTATATGTATATGTGAATGTGTATATGTATGTGTGTGTATGTGTATATATATATATGTGTGTGTGTGCATCAAACTGAAATGTTCCCATGTGTGGGACGAATAAAGGACCTTCTTCTTGATGCACTGTTCTGTATTTATTTGTGTTTTAATCCATTGTTGATTTTAATATTTCTTTTTTGTATGACCTGTGTTATCTTGTTATCTGTGTTTTTAATGGTTTGTATTTGTGCTTTGTGTGTGGACTGTGAAGTGTGTTGTGTTGCTGTGTAGGAAAAGCGCTCTACAAACAAAGAATGATTGATAATATGATAGATCCTGTTCGATGTAAGAACATTCTGCTGTAACGTCTGCAACAATGACATTTCCCCACTGTCGGACATATGAGGGTTTATCTGATCTTATATAATACATATATAATATATATATATATATATATATATATATATATATATATATTTATTATATACATATATATATGCATTGTGACTTTTCTGAGGGTCACCATGAAGTGCTTTGAGTGACCTTGGTCTGTAAAAATGTGATATAAATATAGATAACTTACCACCATGAGCTTGTTTATATGATTCGTAGTTATTGGATTTTTGGTATCGCCATATGATATTTAAATCAATATTTCTTTCATGATTTTGGTTTTCTATGTTTTTTATTATCAAAAAGTTTCTGCACTTTTTCACTATTGTGTAGAGTTCTTGCATAATATCCTTATTTCACAAACAAATACACAAAACCTAATTCCAGCTCGTGTTTTGCCTTTTTTTAGGAGTAATATGAGAAGCTGAAAGGTCTCCTGCTTTATTCAATCAATATTTAAAAAAAAAACTATTTAATTAATCACTAAGATATACAGTGGCATAGACGGAATATTGAGAATAAACATTTAGCAACCCAACTAAAGCAAATATTGACATTTACAGACGTAATCGCTCTTCATACAATTTATCTAACTTGCTTATTTTCCCATAAATAATACATTTTCTTTGTCCCAACAGAAAAACTTGTAAAACCTTTTGCATTTAGTAAGATAGAGCTGGTATAGAGAGCTTGGAGCTGATTGGCTGACTGAGGGTGGTCCACAAGCTGAGCCAACATTGTGACAGAGGCCAATTTCTTTTAGCAGTGATAAACTAGTGACATTAATGCTTTAACATGATTTAAAACGATGTGGTTTGAAATGGGTTCAACTTAATTTAGCTCAATATTTAGAGCAGACCAAAGTTCAACAGGTCTGCTTTAAAATCTACAATATTTATGTTATTGAGATTATTGATAAAACATGATTTGGGAAAAAGAAGCAAAAAAAAAACATACATATGATGCTAACCCAAGCTAAAGGATATATTTGTGTTTTTTGAGATTTGAAGGAGCCCAAACTATGACTCTGCCTCTGATGCAGCAAGAGTCTGAGGAGTGAAGAAACAAGGAAGCAGCAACTTACACACTTTACACCTGAAGAGGAGGAATAAAAACACTTCTTAAAAACAAAACCACTCCATCTTTTAATAAACTTTTCATTAACTGTGTAAAATCTAACTTTGAGAACTTGGAGCCTGATCTTGCACCTGCCCTGCCTCCTCTGTGGCGTGGCTGACATGTTGGCTCTGAACTGATGCCAAATGAGATAAAATACTTAAAAATAAAAAAAATACTTGTTACTTACTGGAGCAGGAGTAAAGTACTTGAGCTCAGGTGGACTCTGTCTTCAGGCTGTGTGTGCATTTAGATGTATACGCGGTGTGTTTCTGTGTTTACACCATGGATCTATCAGTCAAACTCACTGCAGGAGTTTCTCAAGAGCAAACTTCGCAGGGGGCGGGGCTTCGGAGGCGGAGCTTCCGGGGGCGGGGCTTCAGGGGGCGGGGCTTCAGGGCAGTGGTGGATAATGGAATGTAGAGAGATGTGTCAATTCATGCCGCCATCTTTGGACTGGAAACATCAATCACATTTGTTTATGATCACCATACTCCAGGGGTGGCCAACCCGCGGCTCGTGAGCCGCATGCGGCTCTTTGGCTGGTTCCGTGCGGCTCTCGGGCTTTCACTCGACAAGCGTCAAAAACGCCTCGGTGGTGGCGCTGCCTTTCATTCTCTATGTAGTTCTGACCCATAGTAAAGGCCGACTTCACTCCACTAGCCAGGCCACCAAAACAATCTGACGTCGGCGAACGTCAATTCTGGTTGGTCAGATGCGCTGTCAATCACTCTGCAGCTGCTACCTCAGCTGTAGCAAATATCATAACAAACAACACGTTGCCTCGAACCATGACGTCCGTACGGAAAACAGTTCCTTGGTCGCTGGATGAGGGCAACACCTTCCTCAGTTTGAGGAGAGGACACCAGCGTGAGCTCGATGGTTCCACCAGAAACCAGAAGGTGTTTGTGGAGCTAGCGCTAAGGACGGAGCAGAATGATTCCCACGAACATGACAATGCAGAGAAAAGTTAAAAAGCTTAAAAGTGACAACCGTGAAATGAAAGATCGCAGCAGCAGAAGTAGAGGCAGACCCGAAAAGTCTGGAGGTGGTTTGACCAAATGGATTAAATTTACGGACATCGGCTAACACCGGCTAACATGCTAAAACCAGCTAACACCAGCTAACATGCTAAAACCAGCTAACACCGGCTAACATGCTAAAACCAGCTAACACCAGCTAACATGCTAAAACCAGCTAACACCGGCTAACATGCTAAAACCAGCTAACACCGGCTAACATGCTAAAACCAGCTAACACCGGCTAACATGCTAAAACCAGCTAACAACAGCTAACATGCTAAAACCAGCTAACAACAGCTAACATGCTAAAACCAGCTAACAACAGCTAACATGCTAAAACCAGCTAACACCAGCTACACCAGGAGATAAGCCTGCCTGGTGAGTGTCTGTCTTCAATCAAATGCAAAAGTATCTGGTCTTATACTGAGCATGTGTCTGTGGTTCTAAATCAGCTAAAGTGGTGTTGGTGTTATGTGTCAAATCTATATCTTTTACTAAAGACAGTTGTGTTTCTGCTGAACACTGGGTTGAAACTTGATTTTTTTTTCTTGGTTAGAGATTGCAAGCATTCATTTCGGAATCATAATTGATGTTCGCTGACGTGAAATTGTTCTGGTATCGACTCGCCCGGTTAGAACCAGGGCCAAACCATTAATAAAAAGTACCGGGGAGCGGTTGAAGCGAGCGGTGGAAGCGCCTGCAAACCGGGGAGAGTTCAGTCCAGCCCGTTAGTGCTGTACGAGTCAATTTCTGTCATTATCATTTACATCTGTCTGAGCAGAGCACACCTCTCTCTGCTCAGACAGATTGCATGTGTGTGTGCGTGTCTCTGCTCGTGTGCGTACGTGCGCGTGTGCGTGCGTGTGTAAGGGTTGGGGTGATGTTTATGTAGCGCACATTTGTATGATGTGGCTCTTTGCTGTAACACAGTAAAAAAAAATGGCTCTTAGTCTCTGACTGGTTGGCCACCCCTGACATACTCATTCAAATACTTTTCTGTAAATGCTGTTAACACTGGAACTCCTGGAGCAGTCAATATGAAGGATTTTTGTTTTGGAAGCTTGTGTACATTGGTGCTTTTCTGTATCTATAGTTTCTAGTGTATATGACAGTAATTTTGATTGCTCTAAAATAAGGTAGCAGCGGCTCAGTTGGTAGAGCATTGGCCTTAGTGCCTGAAGGTCGTGGGTTTGAGCCCCATAAGACCTTCTTCACGACTCCCACTGATGTCTGCTGTTGTTGTGTCCTTGAGCAAGACAGTTAACCCCACTTTGCCTGAAGCCCCTGCAGAGGATCAGTGAGGGGCTGGTGCTCTGTGTACTGGGTGCAGCTCTGACTGCCACCCCCCATCCCAGAAATGGATTAAGGGGAAGAAAATGGATGGATGAACTGCTCTATCCATTTAAATTAAAACGTAAAAAATACTCATTTTGGTGTCTAAGGCCTCTTTTCTCAAGCTGCTGGTCCTGGACTGGTCTGATGGAGAGTTTTCCATCAGAAACAAACTGTTTTGACTGTATTTCAGTTATATGAACCAGTTTCAGCCCCTACTGTAACTGCTCTGGAAGTTTCAGAATTATGGGACTCCTAGTTTTAACTTCCATCCATCATTACATCTGTCGTCATGTCATTTTCAACCCCTTTATTAGTCCATTTCTGGGTTGGGGGGGGTGACAATCAGAGCTGCCCTAAGTCTCAATGCACCAGTCCCTCTGATCCTCTGCAGGGGGTGGGCCCACAGGAGGATGGCTTCTCTGTCATGGACGAGATGCCCTTGGTCTTTGAGCGGGGGCTTCAGGCAGTGTGGGGTTAAGTGTATCCCAGGGTATCATTGCATCTGTATAATAGAAAAACTATGCTATTTAACAGAGCTCCAGTAATATTAGCCCGACTTATATCTGCATTTGACATTTGATTTAGTCATACTATTTAACATTATCTAGCGTTGATCGCAAGCGGTGCACGGTTTGGTTACCATGGCACCCACCAGGAAGACCACTCAGAAATCCCCTAAATGCACAATGAAAATGCTCAATTCCAAATTATAATGGGAGGCCAAAGGCATTATCATGGAATCATTCAAGTTCTCATAACAGTTTAGCTTTTGTAACTGCGGAAGTGGGCTGTGCATGATTAGGACATTTTAACTTTTTAGACTCAATGCCGTGGCTGTAGCTGGTCGACCATATCAGGATTACACCAGGTCAAATGTATGGCTATGATTAGAGTTTGCATGTTCTGCCCGTGTGGAGTGAGAGGACTCTGGTTAGTAGCTTCTTTATGAACAAGCCACTTTCTCATTAGTACCCACAGAAACTTCTGTTGTCTCGCAGAGGACAGATGCATCAGACGAGGTTCCCGATTACTTCATGCCGAGATGTCACAGTGGGATGTGTTTTTGCATGGCTAAACAAACACAAGAAAACATACCTTCTCCATTTGTGAAACCTACTGGACTGAACTCTACAAGACCCGTGCATTAATAAACCAAGATACTTACCGTTTGTAACCAAGAAGAAAGAACAGATCATTTATTTACTGTATATAACTCTTTACAGACAGTCACAAAGTCAACAGATGTCTTGAGTAGGACTTTTTCTCCATATATTCTGGGTTTGAATTATTATGAAAGTTTCTGAAAGTTGGTCAAAGTAGGACATTTATTGATATTTATTGGTATAAATTAACATATGTATATTACTTCATACATGGTTAGAAGAGAACACAAACTAGCAAAGCAACCCAAGACCATTCACTAGTTGCTAACCATCCAAAAAAACAATGCTATAATCTGGTATTCTTTCAAAAAACGCAATAACAGTTTGTAATCTGCAAAATTGTATACAAACTGGGGCAATCTAGTGTTTATTGGATCATAAGCTTATAACTGGAGCTGTCAATCAAACAGCTGAGCGTAGAATTATTTCATTCTTCATCCATAAAGGCTTTTATAGCACCACAAGATTTCAATTGTCTTAAAATCAATTATAACATCGTTTCGGACTCGTCGTGCTCTTCCGGTTGGTTTTTTCCGACCGTCGCTGGTTCCAGACACTTCCTGCTGAACGGCTGCGTGGCTTGGCTCCTCTGTGGCGGGACGTGGGCGCCGTGAGCTCCTGGGCAGTGGGCTTTTGGAGAAACGCTCTGGTGGTAAAGTCCGCAGGAGGCCACCAGAGGCTTACCCACGTTTAGCTGCAGGCTCTGGGTTTGCCGCCGGGTGCTGTCACCGTCCGCGACAGTGAAATGTAGATCCACGTGGATGAGCAGAGCCTCCTGGGAGCAGAGGGAACCGTGAGGAGAGGTCGAACCAGAGTTTTCCCTTTTGCAGAGGAGGGAGGGGCTCAGGACAGTGGTGATGATCGAGGACACTCAACATTCAACCACATTTATGGACTTTATCAACATTTACGGACATTGGGTATGGAAGATTATTTGTGTCATCAGAATTTTGATTTTTTTTTCCATTTGAAATTTTTAACCCTGAAAAAGCATCTTTGAATATTTTTGTTTTTGCATTTCAGTCACTAAAAATTCAGTTTACAAATTTCAATGTGAATACAATTTCAAAATGACATATTCACCTTCAAAATATATATATATATATATATTTTTTTTTTATTATTTGCTCCATCAGAAATTGAATTTTAAATGGACCTGAATTCATCTATTTGAATTTTTTTTTACATCTTGAATATTTTTGTCTGTGAATATCAATCACTGATTATCAATTTCATAAAGTTTTTCATTTAATTTGAACAGTCTAAATTTGCCGCGAAAAAATACGACGATGAAAATTTCACATCCGGTTTTCTGAGGAGTTGGTCTGAGCGTGCGTCGTTTTACTGCGGTAAAGACAGGCGCAGCTTTCAGACGGTCTGTCCGGTTGATAACATGAATCTAACAGGTTGATATGGGATTTATCATTTTTCAGGGTTAAAAATTTCAAATGGAAAAATTCAAGCTAAAAAAATAATCTCCCAGACGTCGGTCTCTTTTCCGTCTGGACCAATGGCTCTATGTGTTTTCAGCACATTGTCTGTGTTTCAGATGATTCTCCAATCTGTTGGTGAATCGACAACTTTGTAAAGACCTCCGAGATAACTATAGTTGTGGTTTAGGGCTATAAAAGAATACATTGAACTGAAATAAAGGAGAATGTTAGATGAGACTAGGGTCATGACAGTCAAAGATAAGAGAGAAGAGTTTCAGTCTGTAAAAAGCATTCTTATTGGTCAAAGCCACTACTGTTACAATTACACTTGTGTTGCCAGAATCCAAGCACTGATTACTGATGCAGACCACCTGCTGGGGTTCATCTAGAAACTGTACTGACTTTATAGATATACACATATATAAGCCAACCAAGACCAGCTACATTTTACTGAACAAACTGACATCTACTTTAAACTGTTTTTCAGAAAAGGTCAAACATGATTGTGGCTCATTGACCAATCATCTGGATGTATTTTAAAGTGAAAAAATAAATAAAATACAGGCCCTTTAAGGTTGTTCTGTTAAGTGTTCTAAAACTATGATATTTCCATGGCTCTAAATGACAATGACATTTAAAGAAGTCTATTTTTACCTTGAGCGTCTGCAGCCCGCAGAGCCAGAGGCTGCTCTCTGGATTATTGGACTGGCCGAACAGCAGTGAGTCAAAATCCTCAGACCTGCTCTCTCCAGAAAATATATTTTCCATTGCCTACGGATTCAAAGTATACAGAACAAAAACATTATCAACATGACTGATTCTACCGTTCCACCACCAGATGTTGCCAGCACACAGACGATCCAACAACAGAGCTGCACTTGAAGCTTCCGTGAGGGTTTGGAAACGTAATTACTCAACTTTGTTTACATTTATGGTTTTCAGAACTTTGTGACTGTTTCTGTTTCTATCCATCTTATTTCTATCACATGATTTTTATGAAATTATCTTTTATTTTTAAAATGTAAATTATTGTTCATATAAAGTGCTGGTTACCATAGCAACTTTAAAACCACAAAACCTTAAAAATGACTTTTAAGAAATCTGGGGGAAAACGACATCTTTTTGGGGAGAATCGCTCAGAATTCCATTGGTTCTAATGGGAGCAGTCAAAATGGCGGCTCTGGGAGTTCTCGTAGTTTCATAAATCTGGGAGTCCTAGTGTCAACAAATGATTTATGTATTTTGTAAGTATTTATTTATTTATTTATTTATTTATTTATTTAGGTATTTATTGGTTTTTTACACAATTAAAACCACATTTGACGTGACATTATTATTACTATTGATTAAAGTAAGTTGGATGTGATGATGTTTCCAGTGTTGTCTTACAGGGTGACTGCTGAGGCCCAGAGTGCAGTCCGTCGCCTGAGGACCCGAGCGTCTGACGTTAGCGAACACCACCAACACGTTAGAGAACAAAGCCGAGAAGCCGACCTCCACTTCTGCTCCACAAGGAAACTGCAGAGACTTCTTCTTTGGCAGCTCTGAAACACAACCCACAGACTCAGCAAGGATCAAAGAGAAAGTAAAACATGAATACTGTGGATTTTAAAGGAGACATATTGTGTTGGGGAACCCGTTTGACACCACAGAATTGTCGCAAGTTTCTCACTGTTTAGAATTTAGCCTCTGTCACAATGTTGGATCAGCTTTTTTAGGCCGAAAAGTAAAAAACAAAAAAAAAAGGCCCAACACCCGCACTCAGCCAATCAGCTCTCAGCCTAAAGCCTCGTATAGTGACTCACAGGGCTCTATCTTACTAGTATTCAAAACATTACACGTTTTTAAGACTCTTTCGGTCAGGACAAAAACAATTAGTTGGATAAATCTTATAAAGACAGAGTCCATATGATTGGCTAAGATACTAATTAGAGATGTGAAATTATGACCCCTTGGTTAATATTACTGTTAATATTATAATAGGATTTTATCTTTCTCTTTTGAATATACTTTTATTATTTATGATTTTAATGCCTTGTATTTCTATCTGGTTTGGTTCAGCACTTTTGCCTTGTGTTTAAACTGTTCTTTAATACACTTGCCTTTATCTACCCATCCCATGGGTGGCATGGTGGCTGAGTGGTTAGCTCTCTCGCTTCTCAGCAAGAAGGTCCTGGGTTCAAATCCTGGTCGGACCAGGGCCTTTCTGAGTGGAGTTTGCATATTCTCCCCGTGTCTGCGTAGGTTTGCTCCGGTTTCCCCTACCACTAAAAACATGTACAATAGGTTCTTGTACTGGCCCCTCCCATCTCTGTGTGACAGACTAATGCCCATAATTGTAAACCGCTTCGTGACTCTGTGAAAGGCGCTATATAAATAAACATAACTTAGATGTTTTCTATGGACAATACATTCTTTTGTCTTGAATGTGACTAAATGAATGGGGTGATGCCCAGGGACTACAGGTGGACATGATCTCTTCAGATATAACCTGGTACACACTGTCCTGCTCCACCCAGAGGCTACTCCACCTCTGCTACTGTGACCTGTCCTGCTCCACCCAGAGGCTACTCCACCTCTGCTACTGTGACCTGTCCTGCTCCACCCAGAGGCTACTCCACCTCTGCTGCTGTGACCCGTCCTGCTCCACCCAGAGGCTACTCCACCTCTGCTGCTGTGACCTGTCCTGCTCCACCCAGAGGCTACTCCACCTCTGCTGCTGTGACCCGTCCTGCTCCACCCAGAGGCTACTCCACCTCTGCTGCTCTGACCCGTCCTGCTCCACCCAGAGGCTACTCCACCTCTGCTGCTGTGACCTGTCCTGCTCCACCCAGAGGCTACTCCACCTCTGCTGCTGTGACCCGTCCTGCTCCACCCAGAGGCTACTCCACCTCTGCTGCTGTGACCTGTCCTGCTCCACCCAGAGGCTACTCCACCTCTGCTGCTGTGACCTGTCCTGCTCCACCCAGAGACTACTCCACCTCTGCTGCTGTGACCTGTCCTGCTCCACCCAGAGGCTACTCCACCTCTGCTGCTGTGACCTGTCCTGCTCCACCCAGAGGCTACTCCACCTCTGCTGCTGTGACCCGTCCTGCTCCACCCAGAGGCTACTCCACCTCTGCTGCTGTGACCCGTCCTGCTCCACCCAGAGGCTACTCCACCTCTGCTGCTGTGACCTGTCCTGCTCCACCCAGAGGCTACTCCACCTCTGCTGCTCTGACCCGTCCTGCTCCACCCAGAGGCTACTCCACCTCTGCTGCTGTGACCTGTCCTGCTCCACCCAGAGGCTACTCCACCTCTGCTGCTCTGACCCGTCCTGCTCCACCCAGAGGCTACTCCACCTCTGCTGCTGTGACCCGTCCTGCTCCACCCAGAGGCTACTCCACCTCTGCTGCTGTGACCCGTCCTGCTCCACCCAGAGGCTACTCCACCTCTGCTGCTGTGACCCGTCCTGCTCCACCCAGAGGCTACTCCACCTCTGCTGCTGTGACCTGTCCTGCTCCACCCAGAGGCTACTCCACCTCTGCTGCTGTGACCTGTCCTGCTCCACCCAGAGACTACTCCACCTCTGCTGCTGTGACCTGTCCTGCTCCACCCAGAGGCTACTCCACCTCTGCTGCTGTGACCTGTCCTGCTCCACCCAGAGGCTACTCCACCTCTGCTGCTGTGACCTGTCCTGCTCCACCCAGAGACTACTCCACCTCTGCTGCTGTGACCTGTCCTGCTCCACCCAGAGGCTACTCCACCTCTGCTGCTGTGACCCGTCCTGCTCCACCCAGAGGCTACTCCACCTCTGCTGCTGTGACCTGTCCTGCTCCACCCAGAGGCTACTCCACCTCTGCTGCTGTGACCTGTCCTGCTCCACCCAGAGACTACTCCACCTCTGCTGCTGTGACCTGTCCTGCTCCACCCAGAGGCTACTCCACCTCTGCTGCTGTGACCTGTCCTGCTCCACCCAGAGGCTACTCCACCTCTGCTGCTGTGACCCGTCCTGCTCCACCCAGAGGCTACTCCACCTCTGCTGCTGTGACCCGTCCTGCTCCACCCAGAGGCTACTCCACCTCTGCTGCTGTGACCTGTCCTGCTCCACCCAGAGGCTACTCCACCTCTGCTGCTCTGACCCGTCCTGCTCCACCCAGAGGCTACTCCACCTCTGCTGCTGTGACCTGTCCTGCTCCACCCAGAGGCTACTCCACCTCTGCTGCTCTGACCCGTCCTGCTCCACCCAGAGGCTACTCCACCTCTGCTGCTGTGACCCGTCCTGCTCCACCCAGAGGCTACTCCACCTCTGCTGCTGTGACCCGTCCTGCTCCACCCAGAGGCTACTCCACCTCTGCTGCTGTGACCCGTCCTGCTCCACCCAGAGGCTACTCCACCTCTGCTGCTGTGACCTGTCCTGCTCCACCCAGAGGCTACTCCACCTCTGCTGCTGTGACCTGTCCTGCTCCACCCAGAGACTACTCCACCTCTGCTGCTGTGACCTGTCCTGCTCCACCCAGAGGCTACTCCACCTCTGCTGCTGTGACCTGTCCTGCTCCACCCAGAGGCTACTCCACCTCTGCTGCTGTGACCCGTCCTGCTCCACCCAGAGGCTACTCCACCTCTGCTGCTGTGACCCGTCCTGCTCCACCCAGAGGCTACTCCACCTCTGCTGCTGTGACCTGTCCTGCTCCACCCAGAGGCTACTCCACCTCTGCTGCTCTGACCCGTCCTGCTCCACCCAGAGGCTACTCCACCTCTGCTGCTGTGACCTGTCCTGCTCCACCCAGAGGCTACTCCACCTCTGCTGCTGTGACCCGTCCTGCTCCACCCAGAGGCTACTCCACCTCTGCTGCTGTGACCTGTCCTGCTCCACCCAGAGGCTACTCCACCTCTGCTGCTCTGACCCGTCCTGCTCCACCCAGAGGCTACTCCACCTCTGCTGCTGTGACCCGTCCTGCTCCACCCAGAGGCTACTCCACCTCTGCTGTTCTGACCCGTCCTGCTCCACCCAGAGGCTACTCCACCTCTGCTGCTCTGACCTGTCCTGCTCCACCCAGAGGCTACTCCACCTCTGCTGCTGTGACCTGTCCTGCTCCACCCAGAGGCTACTCCACCTCTGCTGCTGTGACCCGTCCTGCTCCACCCAGAGGCTACTCCACCTCTGCTGCTGTGACCCGTCCTGCTCCACCCAGAGGCTACTCCACCTCTGCTGCTGTGACCTGTCCTGCTCCACCCAGAGGCTACTCCACCTCTGCTGCTGTGACCCGTCCTGCTCCACCCAGAGGCTACTCCACCTCTGCTGCTGTGACCCGTCCTGCTCCACCCAGAGGCTACTCCACCTCTGCTGCTGTGACCCGTCCTGCTCCACCCAGAGGCTACTCCACCTCTGCTGCTGTGACCTGTTCTGCTCCACCCAGAGGCTACTCCACCTCTGCTGCTGTGACCCGTCCTGCTCCACCCAGAGGCTACTCCACCTCTGCTGCTGTGACCCGTCCTGCTCCACCCAGAGGCTACTCCACCTCTGCTGCTGTGACCCGTCCTGCTCCACCCAGAGGCTACTCCACCTCTGCTGCTGTGACCTGTCCTGCTCCACCCAGAGGCTACTCCACCTCTGCTGCTGTGACCCGTCCTGCTCCACCCAGAGGCTACTCCACCTCTGCTGCTGTGACCTGAAGTGCTGTTGCTGATTATTACTATTGTCAGCTACTTTTAGAAATACGTATTTATTTGTTTTGTTTTATGGATGGATGTGATTCTGCTGCTGCTGGACACCTGGACTTCTCCTACGGGGATAAATAAAGTATCTATCTATCTATGTACAGTATCTTTCTCACCGTTGGCTCTCCTCCAGCAGACGTCTCTGGCTCGCAGTTCTCGGGTGTGGCCGTTGCTGCGGATCGGGTCTGACAGAGAGCGAGCTTCCTTCAGCGAGTGCCGGATCTCCACGGCCTGTTTGCCTCGCACCAGCGGGTCCTTGTCCACATCTGGGCCAAACAATATAGAACATAGTGGACATTGCTTCAAAATAATGGTGGCAGAATTCAACTAAAGGCATGTTCCATTTCCAAGATTAGAAATTAAGAGATTATTAGTCCCACAGTGGGGAAATGTCAGTGTTGTATCACAGGCTACGGAACAGTAGGAATGAGGAATGAAGATAAATTAATATTAAGTATAGCTAAATAAAATCTGTATCTGTCTTTATCTATTTCTGGATTGCTTGGGAAAAAAAGCATTATTTGAGGAAGCAAAACTACCAAACAAGTAAACATCTAGACTCTCTCCATGGGCTTCCACCAAAGTACAATTCAATTTCAATTCAATGTATTCTTGCAAAGCCCTAAATCACAACACTAGTTATCTCAGAGGACTTAACCAAACCATTGAAGATTCAGATTCAGTTTATTTGCCATTTGCAGTAAAAACACCACATTGGAATACATTAGCAAAAGTCTCCAGTGTGCACAGACAAATACAGACATAAAACAACAATAAGAGCTCTCACTGCGTTGCGCTGCATTGAAATCGCCAAAACAGATCAGAGAATCAAATAGTTCTAAGAATTGGACCAATATCTACAGTATGTATTCTCAATTCCCAAAGAATAGAAAATACATAGACATTGGTCCATATGAGGGAGTTGACCAATGTCCATCAGTGATAAAAATCTGAATGAACCAACTCGGACTCTGAGGAGCACAGGGACTGGCCTCCTGCTGGTACTCTAAGGAGCACAGGGACTGGCCTCCTGGGACTCTGAGGAGCACAGGGACTGGCCTCCTGCTGGGACTCTAAGGAGCACAGGGACTGGCCTCCTGCTGGGACTCTGAGGAGCACAGGGACTGGCCTCCTGCTGGGACTCTGAGGAGCACAGGGACTGGCCTCCTGCTGGGACTCTGAGGAGCACAGGGACTGGCCTCCTGCTGGGACTCTGAGGAGCACAGGGACTGGCCTCCTGCTGGGACTCTAAGGAGCACAGGGACTGGCCTCCTGCTGGGACTCTGAGGAGCACAGGGACTGGCCTCCTGCTGGGACTCTGAGGAGCACAGGGACTGGACTCCTGCTGGGACTCTGAGGAGCACAGGGACTGGCCTCCTGCTGGGACTCTGAGGAGCACAGGGACTGGACTCCTGCTGGGACTCTGAGGAGCACAGGGACTGGCCTCCTGCTGGGACTCGGAGGAGCACAGGGACTGGCCTCCTGGGACTCTGAGGAGCACAGGGACTGGCCTCCTGCTGGTCTCAGAGTCAGGACTAAACATGGGGAGTCTTCTTGAATATTTGAGACTGACTTCTTCTCTGACAATGTTCAAATCCAGTTAAACCTGTTCTGTTTAGATGTGTTTGAAGGATTTTATCTTCACTCTTTTGAATGTTCTGTGATCCTTTGGTATTTGATTTGTTGTTGTTACTGAGGCCGTGACATGTTTGAGTCAGAAGTTCCTTATTTTCTGTGTTCTGTGGGATAATGATGAGGAACAACGCTGCAGATAAAGACAGATTAGATTTGATGGATCTGTCAGTTTTGCAGAACAAAGTATATATATAGGAGGTTAGCATCCTGTTTCTCTAAAAGTCAACGGTCCTCATTCTGAAATGTATGGATTTAAAAAGGCTGTGCCGTATTCCAAGAACTGGCTTTGTTTTCTCGTTCCACTGGAGACAAGTCTTTTATATTTTTAAAACAACATAATTTTTCTTCTTCCCATCGACAAATCTAGTCTGAAGAAAGTCAAATTTTGACTTGTTTTTCATCACTTTTGCAGTGAATGATTGTAAAAAATTATAAATTAATTAATTTTACTTTTAACTCCGCGTGAGTGGTCCCTGTGTCTTTTTTTTTATTTTTATTTTTTTATTCACTTTTACCTATTTATTGTTATTAATTCTGCTTTATTTTATCTTTTTAGTGTTTTTATTGATTTTATAAAATTATTATTTATTTCCATCCATCCATCCATTTTCTTCCCTTTAATCCATTTCTGGGCCAGGGGGGTGGCAGTCAGAGATGCACCAGCCCCTCACTGATCCTCTGCAGGTGGTGAGTCCACAGGAGGACGGCTGCTCTCTGAGTGTGAGCATAGCCTTGATCTTTCAGTGGGGGCTTTGGGCAAAGTGGGGTTAAGTGTCTTGCCCAAGGACACAACGACAGCAGTCATCAGTGGGAGTCGGTGGAGAAGGTGCAGAGGTGGGAATTGAACCCACAACCTTCTGGCCTTAAGGCCAATGCTCTACCAACTGACTTTATTGACTGGTTGAGCTACATGGAGTTTGTTTTTGTGCAGCACTTTGGAACTGTTCTGTTGTTTAAATGTGCTATAGAAATAAAGTGGATTGGATAATTAAAATATTAAGCAGGTTCTGGTTTTAGCGTAGGTCCAAATACATGTTTACACTTGGGTAAGTTTACTAAGTTACATGTTATATTAGGAGGAAAGCTGATCTAAAATAAGAATTAATTTAGAGATTAAATAATGAACAATATGAAGAAAAAACATATCAATATATCAAAACTCAAATCAAACAATGGCTGAAAACCATGTGACCACCAGACTCTGTCCCTGCGCTGTCTGTACTGTATTGTGTTATTTTGTATATTATTGTACTGCTGTCATTTCCTATGTATTTTGCTGCCTATAGGGACTACAGATGAAAACTAGCTTGGTAGCAATAATCCGGCATATTTACATGACTTTTATACTGATGTTCTTTAATGTGCATTGTCCCTGTCAAATAAACAAGGAAGTAAAAATAGAATCATAGATCAAGAAATAACACCCGGGAGAGGACCCAGGTTTCGCAAACGACTGAACGCAAACAGCCGTAAAAAAAAAAAAAAAAAGCCATAAAACAAAATATCTTCCACTTCCACTTTGACCTACAGTGAGCGCGAGCCGTGGGTCATAACAACACTTGATCCTCGATCGCTAACGAACACATTTCACACAAACAAAATCAATGTGGTGTAAGACGGAGCCTGGACCTCATGAAGCATGTAACGACATTTTTAGGAGGGCTAATAAAATCTCATCATCAACACGTTTATTTCTATCTCACGATAATAACCAGAGATACTTGGGTTTTTAATGTTCCTTCACACACAAAATACTGGGTCTTGGTAGCACAGAATGTTTCTTGGGCGCGTGCTTTTATGATTATTGCGGATCGGAGCGTGACCCTGGGAGCAGAGCCGTCAGCGTGCGAGGGCCGCAGCAGCTGTTTTGGACGCACACATCTCGGGTTTCTGCTTGTTCTCCTGCCAACCGGCGCAATTTCCGAAGAATGAGGTCATCATCAGACACTTAACGGGCACGGCGAAAAAAATCTGCCATCACCTGTCTGTCAAGCCGACCCACGGAGGTCAGTGATCACGCACTAATTGATTTATGCGTCGATTTATGCGTCTATTTCGGAAGATTTTGTTGTTTTTTTTGTATGCACAGTGTGTGATGCTTACCCTCGGACACCCTCTCCAAAACATGGGTGACTTTTTCAGGCAGCAGGATGTATTTGTTGAGATACTTGGTGAAGATCCCGGTGCTTCTGCTCTGGTCCTGGACTTCGAACGCCTCAGCATCTTCACCGCTGCAGCACACCAAAGGGTACAAGTCATTTTACACGAAAAAAGATCCAATATGAGGTAAGAACTGCCTGAAATGAGTGGTTTTTAGCTTAATTTGAGCACATTCCGACTGTGTTAAAACAAGATTCACCAATGGGACCAAGCTATTTAGTCGCAAAACAAGATCATTTTGCTTTGTCCCATTGGCAAATCTAGTTTTAAGGCTCAGTCAGAATAAAGCTGCATTACCTCACTTTATGTTTGTATTCATCAGTTAAATCCAATCCATGTCCAAGCAGTGCATCGGGATAAACGTCAAGAATAAGTAGTGCTGATTTGTGCTGGAGTCATTTTATTTTAGATCGAGTTTCGGTGAAAAAGGAAGAGAATGTGTTTTGGGTCCAGATTGTGACCAATCACAGCGGACCACTGGCCCCCACCTTCTTGAGAAAAGCCACAGGTCTGAGGTTAGTACGGACAGGTCTGAGGTTAGCACAGACAGGTCTGAGGTTAGCACGGACAGGTCTGTGGTTAGCACGGACAGGTCTGAGGTTAGCACGGACAGGTCTGAGGTTAGCACGGACAGGTCTGAGGTTAGCACGGACAGGTCTGAGGTTAGCACGGACAGGTCTGTGGTTAGCACGGACAGGTCTGTGGTTAGCACGGACAGGTCTGAGGTTAGCACGGACAGGTCTGAGGTTAGCACGGACAGGTCTGTGGTTAGCACAGACAGGTCTGAGGTTAGCACGGACAGGTCTGAGGTTAGCACGGACAGGTCTGAGGTTAGCACGGACAGGTCTGAGGTTAGCACGGACAGGTCTGAGGTTAGCACGGACAGGTCTGTGGTTAGCACGGACAGGTCTGAGGTTAGCACGGACAGGTCTGTGGTTAGCACGGACAGGTCTGAGGTTAGCACGGACAGGTCTGAGGTTAGCACGGACAGGTCTGTGGTTAGCACAGACAGGTCTGAGGTTAGCACGGACAGGTCTGTGGTTAGCACGGACAGGTCTGAGGTTAGCACGGACAGGTCTGTGGTTAGCACAGACAGGTCTGTGGTTAGCACAGACAGGTCTGAGGTTAGCACAGACAGGTCTGTGGTTAGCACAGACAGGTCTGTGGTTAGCACGGACAGGTCTGAGGTTAGCACAGACAGGTCTGTGGTTAGCACAGACAGGTCTGAGGTTAGCACGGACAGGTCTGTGGTTAGCACGGACAGGTCTGTGGTTAGCACGGACAGGTCTGTGGTTAGCACGGACAGGTCTGTGGTTAGCACGGACAGGTCTGAGGTTAGCACGGACAGGTCTGAGGTTAGCACGGACAGGTCTGTGGTTAGCACGGACAGGTCTGAGGTTAGCACGGACAGGTCTGAGGTTAGCACGGACAGGTCTGAGGTTAGCACGGACAGGTCTGTGGTTAGCACAGACAGGTCTGAGGTTAGCACAGACAGGTCTGAGGTTAGCACAGACAGGTCTGAGGTTAGCACGGACAGGTCTGTGGTTAGCACGGACAGGTCTGTGGTTAGCACGGACAGGTCTGAGGTTAGCACGGACAGGTCTGAGGTTAGCACGGACAGGTCTGTGGTTAGCACGGACAGGTCTGAGGTTAGCACGGACAGGTCTGTGGTTAGCACGGACAGGTCTGAGGTTAGCACGGACAGGTCTGTGGTTAGCACGGACAGGTCTGAGGTTAGCACGGACAGGTCTGAGGTTAGCACGGACAGGTCTGAGGTTAGCACGGACAGGTCTGAGGTTAGCACGGACAGGTCTGTGGTTAGCACGGACAGGTCTGTGGTTAGCACGGACAGGTCTGTGGTTAGCACAGACAGCTGAGGTAAACAAGCGGCGGAGGTGAACCTGAAACTTCTGTGTCTTTGTTTCCGGTGACTGCTTACTCAGAGAAACAGACAAAAGAAAGTCTCGTTCCTCCGCACTTCACGGTTCTATCATTCTATGGATTCCAACCAGTAAGTGTTTAGACATGCTACATACGTGGCATAGCCGTAGACCGTGTTCCCAGTGGGTCCCAAAGGCTGGATGATTGACAGGGTACTCTCCTCTTTGCACCTTTGAAAACAGTTGGTTTTAGACGTCACAGGCCGTAATTATATTAATATTATCCATAACTATTAAAATGATTCACCATTTTCTGCAGGCATCCAAAAGAATGAGACTAAGCGCAGTGTTCTTTTCCTGCATTTTTCCCATGATCCTTTGCACGCAGAGACATGTCGATGTGCGGTAAGGTTGTGGAGCGTCGATGGGAACGAGATAGTTTCTTCCAGCTCGTTCGAAGCCATGGCCGGCGTAGTAGAAGAGCCCTGTGCAGCAACACCACAACCACAGGACATTTCTTTATGTTTTTACACAATAATCTTTCACAAATACAGAATGGGCATCTAAGGTTAACCAAAAAACATAATGGATAAAATAAAGTTCCCTCACAAAGTAAATATATAATAGCTGCTAGTAGTGTAATTGCCCAAACCAGAAAGATTGTGATTCTTCTGCTTTTACTTTTTAAATGTACTTTCCATTCCCTTTCGTGACTTTCAAAGAGACTGTGTTTTTATATCTGGTTATGGAGACTTTTGGGTAAATGACACTTATCTATGTTTTACTAAAAGTGAACTCCCACAAACTTCCTCTGAGATGATCTTTCTGTCACGAATCATGTTCTTCCTTAAATATTAAAACCCTGTAGCATTTCTTTTGTAGTTTTTGGATGGTATTTATAATTACAATAATTACAGAAAAAGTTATATAAAAGTTATAGCTTCACTGTAAAAAGTACAACATTTCTCAAATTTGGCTCAATGTCTCTCAATTTGAGCATGTTTTGACTGACTTTAAGATTTGCCAACGGGACGAAGCAAAAGGAAATGAAGCTATTTTATTTTATTTTTTAAATAAGACTAAATGGCTTTGTCCCATTGGAGAATCTTGTTTTAAGTCAGAATGTACTCAAATTAAGATCAAAATAGCCACAAATCTGACTCACATGTTTTGGTCATGCTCATCACAAAGGTCGCACAGTCGTCGCTCCAACCTGAACCTTTAACTGCTTTATGGGGTTTTACCTGAAACAGTTGTCCTGCCAAGGCTTAAATCTGATTTTATTGCTTTTCTGACGTTGTTAGCCAGACGAAGGATATTATTGTTGTTGTTTGGAAAAAAAATTAAGATAAAATGAAGATAAAGTGATACATACCATAGACCCCGGTGTCTAAGAGCTGGGTGAAGTTGTGGACAGCCGCGGTCATCTGTTCTGCCGTGAGGTCCAGCAGAGACAGGACCCTGAAGCCGAGCTGCTGCAGGAGCAACCCCAGCTCGTGCACGTCCATCACCGGAGCCAGGAGCCCGGGGTGGTGCGAGTAGTTCAGGTTTCCAATGAGAAGAGCCACTTTGTCTGTGGCTACACACACAGACACACACACACACACACAGACACAGACACAGACACACACACACACACAGACACACACACAGACACACACACACACACACACACACACACACACACAGACACACACACACACACACAGACACAGACACACATACACATACAGACAGACACAGAGACACAGACACACACACAGACACACACACACACACACACACACACACACATTAACCCTCTCGGCGCCACAGTTGACTTGAGTTGACAATGTACTGTTTAAAACATCTGATTGTGTGGAGGAGGCCGTCAGAGGTCAAAGGCCGTCAGAGTTCAAAGGCCACACAATGATTCAAACTCTTTTACTTTTCCCTGACCCTGAGTGTGGTTTAATGTGAGTTCCATGTGGACCTTTTTAACACAATTTAATAAATAATTAAACTATAAATATATCAATATAAATTAAAAATATTGAGTTTTTCTTTTCACCAAAGAATGGACTGGATTTGTTTAGTTTTTTATTTAAATTATTTGGATTGCTAAATGTTATGTACCAATGTTTAAAATCATCAGAGTTGATGTGTGTGTGTGTTTTTTGTTTTGTGTGCGTGTGTGTGTGTGCGTGTGTATGTGTATGTATGTGTGTGTGCGTGTGTGTGTGTGTGTGTGTGTGTGTGTGTGTGTGTGTTGTGTGTATGTGTATGTACGTGTGTGTGTGTGTTTTTGTGTGTTTATTGGTGTGTGTATCTGTGTGTGTGTGTTTTGTGTGTATAATGGTTACTGTGTATTTTTTTAATAACATTTCTGTTGAAGCATATTTAAAGTTTTTACATTAATCTTGTTTATTCTTGTGACATTGATGAGAACTCAGACCTAGCTACAACAGAGCTACTGTATATTTCAGTAGCTAACGGATAGCTAACTTACCAGTGAGCGCTGCTGTGTTGACTTCCATACTTGGCTTTGATAAAACTACAAACAGAACACAAGAGATTTCAGAATCAGGATCAGAATTCTCTCAAGCTGCAAACAAGTTTTAAACCTAAAAACAGAAACAGTTTAATTCATGCATAAAAACAATGGTCATAAAATCCTCTCATTGTGGTGTTTTTACGGTTTGTTTGCCGCTGCGGTCGCTCTAGGAACGTCACACGGCCAAAGTAAAAGGTTTCAGTTTCACTCAGACTTCTTCCTGCGTTGGTCTTACAACATTCTTTGTCAAGTGTGTCAACTCAACAGGAAAGTACCCAGAAATCTCAGCGTGCTAAACATATTGCTGACGTTTCAAAGATCCCATGAAGACCTGTTAAACGTGACGCACAAAACTAAAACAAAGAGATTCTGTTCTAAAAGAAGCACGAGCAGCTGAAAGGTTATTTTACAACACGAAGAGTTCTGTCCTCCTTTCATCAGTTCTTTTGTTCTTTCTTATTGTAAAATGTATAAATGATCTTTGAAAGCATGTGACCTGAAGTCGGATGTACATATTGGCCGAAGACAATAAAACACTAAACTAAATCTGTTTCTTATTCTTACTATTGTTGTATCTATCTATCTATCTATCTACTACTACAGTCATTCTTCATCATCCATCCATTTTCTTCCGCTTCATCCGTTGCCGGGTCGCGGGGGCAGCAGTCTAAGCGGAGACGCCCAGACTTCCCTATCCACACACACTTCCTCCAGCTCGTCCGGGGGGACCCCAAGGTGTTCCCAGGCCAGCTGAGAGACATAGTCCCTCTGTGTCCTGGGTCTTCCCCGGGGCCTCCTCCCGGTGGGACGTGCCCGGAACACCTCCCCAGGGAGGCGTCCAGGAGGCATCCGGAACAGATGCCCGAGCCACCTCAACTGGTTCCTCTCGACGTGGAGAAGCAGCGGCTCTACTCCGAGCTCCTCCAGTGTGACTGAGCTCCTCACCCTATCTCTAAGGGAGCAGCGGCTCTACTCCGAGCTCCTCCCGTGTGCGTGTGACTGAGCTCCTCACCCTATCTCTAAGGGAGCAGCCACTCTGCGGAGGAAGCTCATTTCGACCGCTTGTATCCGCGATCTTGTTCTTTCGGTCATTACCCAAAGCTCATGACCATAGGTGAGGGAGCTCTGACTGCAGACGCTGCTCCCTCTTTACCACAACGGTCCGATACAGCTCTGACTGCAGACGCTGCTCCCTCTTTACCACAACAGTCCAATACAGCTCTGACTGCAGACGCTGCTCCCTCTTTACCACAACGGTCCGATACAGCTCTGACTGCAGACGCTGCTCCCTCTTTACCACAACGGTCCGATACAGCTCTGACTGCAGACGCTGCTCCCTCTTTACCACAACGGTCCGATACAGCTCTGACTGCAGACGCTGCTCCCTCTTTACCACAACGGTCCGATACAGCTCTGACTGCAGACGCTGCTCCCTCTTCACCACAACGGTCCGATACAGCTCTGACTGCAGACGCTGCTCCCTCTTTACCACAACAGTCTGATACAGCTCTGACTGCAGGCACTGCTCCCGCTTCACCACAACACTCTGATAGAGCTCTGACTGCAGACGCTGCTCCCTCTTCACCACAACGGTCCGGTACAGCTCTGACTGCAGACGCTGCTCCCTCTTTACCACAACAGTCTGATACAGCTCTGACTGCAGACGCTGCTCCCTCTTTACCACAACGGTCCGGTACAGCTCTGACTGCAGACGCTGCTCCCTCTTCACCACAACAGTCTGATACAGCTCTGACTGCAGACGCTGCTCCCTCTTTACCACAACGGTCCGATACAGCTCTGACTGCAGACGCTGCTCCCTCTTTACCACAACAGTCTGATACAGCTCTGACTGCAGACGCTGCTCCCTCTTCACCACAACAGTCTGATAGAGCTCTGACTGCAGACGCTGCTCCCTCTTCACCACAACGGTCCGGTACAGCTCTGACTGCAGACGCTGCTCCCTCTTTACCACAACGGTCCGATACAGCTCTGACTGCAGACGCTGCTCCCTCTTTACCACAACAGTCTGATACAGCTCTGACTGCAGACGCTGCTCCCTCTTCACCACAACAGTCTGATACAGCTCTGACTGCAGACGCTGCTCCCTCTTCACCACAACGGTCCGGTACAGCTCTGACTGCAGACGCTGCTCCCTCTTTACCACAACGGTCCGATACAGCTCTGTCTGCAGACGCTGCTCCCTCTTCACCACAACAGTCTGATACAGCTCTGACTGCAGACGCTGCTCCCTCTTTACCACAACGGTCCGATACAGCTCTGACTGCAGACGCTGCTCCCTCTTCATCACAACAGTCCGATACAGCTCTGACTGCAGACGCTGCTCCCTCTTCATCACAACAGTCCGATACAGCTCTGACTGCAGACGCTGCTCCCTCTTTACCACAACGGTCCGATACAGCTCTGACTGCAGACGCTGCTCCCTCTTTACCACAACAGTCTGATACAGCTCTGACTGCAGACGCTGCTCCCTCTTTACCACAACGGTCCGATACAGCTCTGACTGCAGACGCTGCTCCCTCTTCATCACAACAGTCCGATACAGCTCTGACTGCAGACGCTGCTCCCTCTTCATCACAACAGTCCGATACAGCTCTGACTGCAGACGCTGCTCCCTCTTCATCACAACAGTCCGATACAGCTCTGACTGCAGACGCTGCTCCCTCTTCATCACAACAGTCCGATACAGCTCTGACTGCAGACGCTGCTCCCTCTTCATCACAACAGTCCGATACAGCTCTGACTGCAGACGCTGCTCCCTCTTTACCACAACAGTCCGATACAGCTCTGACTGCAGACGCTGCTCCCTCTTCATCACAACAGTCCGATACAGCTCTGACTGCAGACGCTGCTCCCTCTTCATCACAACAGTCCGATACAGCTCTGACTGCAGACGCTGCTCCCTCTTCATCACAACAGTCCGATACAGCTCTGACTGCGCACGCTGCACTTGTCAATCTCACTCCATCCTTCGCTCACTCGTGAACAAGACCCAGAGATACTTGAACTCCTCCACATTCCTCATCACTCTAAGTATAATCTAATCTCAGTCTGATTGTGTCTTTGTCAAAGTTAATCTGTGTTAAAACTAGGGCTGCACGATATATCGGAAATATATTTTTATTTTGTTTTATTGTATTTTTTTTAGCTTTATTAAAGACAACAAAACAGACGGACACATCAACATTCAACAACAGTACCAAACAAACAAAACAAAAAACAAAAAAGTACATAACTATTTGCATTTGAACGTCATTAATGAGGTGTTTGTTATTTGTCTCTTGCGTTTCGATGCAGATGCAATTTCAGGTGAAAGACAAAAATATCAAAATAATATTGTTATTGTAATACTAAACACTTATATCAAATATCGCTCTAATTTCCAGTATTGTGCAGCTCTAGTTAAAACCAGCATTCACAAAACCCTTTGAAGTCATTATTCGAGTAACTCACACATGACCTGAGCCATAAGTTTATCTGTTTATATTATTTATATTCCAGTAACTCACACATGACCTGAGGCATAAGTTTATCTGTTTATATTATTTATATTCCAGTAACTCACACATGACCTGAGCCATAAGTTTATCTGTTTATATTATTTATATTCCAGTAACTCACACATGACCTGAGCCATAAGTTTATCTGTTTATATCGAGACATGTGGAAATATGTCACTCACTGAGGTTCACGTCGACGGCATCGCTCCAACTTTCCCCCAAGACGTTGGTGACGGCGCAGAGGTATGTGCCTGCGTCATGGGCCCCGGCCTGACTCACCTGCACACACACACACACACACACACACACACACACACACACACACACACAGACACACACGCAGACACACGCAGACACACACACACACAAAGACACACACAGACACACACACACACACACACAAAGACACACACAGACACACACGCAGACACACACACACACAAAGACACACACAGACACACACGCACACACACACACACACACACACACAGACACACAGACACACGCAGACACACGCAGACACACACACACAGACACACACACAGACACACACGCAGACACACGCAGACACACACACACACAAAGACACACACAGACACACACACACAGGGAAGTTTCTATTGTATAGCGCAATTCCTTCACAAGGCAACTCAAAGTGTGGAACCAAACGAGATATAATTCAAATCCTAAATAATCACAAAACATTCAAAAGAACTGATTAAACCTGGATTTAAACAGTGTCAGAGAAGAAGCCTGCCTCACATTTTCAGTAAGATTGTTCCAGATATTAGCAGCATGAATCTTACAGTCTTTCTCAGTCGCTTTACTGCTCTTATCACATCATTCTTCACATTTAAACAACAGTTTGTGCATTTCTCAGAACAATTAGTGCATTACTGCAGAACCTCGTGGATAACCTGCAAAAGTGCATCACTTTCTCAAAATGAAAAGTATATTCAGGTCGATGAAACTGTCTGTGTCTCAGAATAATAATTCTTAACAACAGTCACATGACTTAGACATGTTTTCACTGTGAAAGTTTACTCTGTGTTTTTAATGTAAAAAAGTCAGATCTCAGTCACACTGAAGCACGACTCTGAGCTCATTACACACGACCTGTGCAGACACAGTAACTACAGTAAAGTTACACAAAGAGTGTATTTAGAGACGTAACTGACATATACACATTACTTTCATACAATTCTCTGTTTTTTAACATGATCATTTGCTTCTGTCAGAATGAAACACACTTATCACTTCTGAACAGTCTTTCCCTTTAAAACTAACTGTCCTCATTTCATCTCTTTGGTCACAAACTAGTTCTAAATCATATTTGTCAAACTAACTTCATACATTCTTTTATCTTTTTTTCCTGTAAATCTTTCCTAAATTGAACAGTTTCTCTGAGTTTCAGCTTCAGTCATGAGGAAGTGTGTGTTTTATTGTTTACATTTGTCACAGTTCTACCATAAAGATATTCTGTATGTTTGCTCTGTGTATATGCAGTAAATATGTGAAAGACATGCAGTACACATACAGTACATACAGTACACATACAGTACATACAGTACATAGAGTACACATACAGTACATACAGTACATACAGTACACAGTACACACACACATACAGTACATACAGTACACACAGTGCACACAGTACACACACATATACAGTACATACAGTACACACAGTACATACAGTACATACAGTACACACAGTTATGTCAGTTACGTCTCTAAATACACTCTTTGTGTAACTTTACTGTAGTTACTGTGTCTGCACAGGTCGTGTGTAATGAGCTCAGAGTCGTGCTTCAGTGTGACTGAGATCTGACTTTTTTACATTAAAAACACAGAGTAAACTTTCACAGTGAAAACATGACTAAGTCATGTGACTGTTGTTCATACTGTTATGGCAAGTTGGTTAGCCTCAAGGACGCCAACTCACCCCCCCCGCTGTTCTATTCAATTAACCTGCAGGAAGGAACCGGTCTCCCCCCTGCACCGACAGACATGACGCAAATTACTATCTCACCTTTGCCCCTTTTGCATTTTGCATCTCTATCGGTCCGTATGTCTGCATCTCTATGTCCCTTTTACATTCTGCATGCCTATTGTCCCTTCTGTTTGCATCTCCACGGCACAAAGATTGTCTCTCACCAGGCAAGGCGCCCCGCCATCTGGATGCCCGTCTCAAACTGTGACCCCTCCCACCTTTTGTGGGCGTGACTGTCTTTCATGTGTTGTCTATGTAAACGGGGACCTGGGACTGGCCCCGGCAGAACTGATGTACGCTATTTTGTGTATGTGAGTTCTCCGCACGTGTGTTATAATAAACTTACGCTCCTGATTAAGACAAATACCTTTCCAGCTTTTTCCTTACTGTGGATAGAAACTTCCATGACAATTTGGCGTTGCTGACACGTTCTATGTCTGATTTTTTTTTTCCGGCGTGGAGACGATCGTGTGTTGTTTGGCCGACCTGGGATTTACTACAAAAAACCAGCCTCCCCTACCTCACTTAGCGTTTGACGAGAAGACGGGAGGGACACCGCTCGCCTCGCGCAGGAAAAACTATTCGACTACAGGACCATAAAAGAACCTGATTTGGTGAGTTTTGTCTTTTCATTTGCGTAACAAGCCCAGGGCAGCGCTTAAGTGTACACGGGTATTTGATTTATTTACGTATTTTTGGGGTATTTCATTCATTGCCACAGCGTAGACTGTGTGCGGGTAATCCTAGCGGCTGCGCGTTAGTATTGCTCTGTAAGCAAGCCTGAACTCTTTGTGCCTTCAGCCAGGCCCGGTCCGTTTCAAAAACGCGTGCCCGTTAGGTGTATTGAACTAACGGGGGGGGGGACGGATCGCTCCAAAGTGAGGAAGAGCAGGGAGAGACTAAGCGAGGCTAGGCCCATTGTTCTGTACGTGAAAATGGGGAAAAATCAATCTAGAGATGCCACACCGAGGGGAATGTTAACGTCCCCCGTAACAATGGCAATGGAAAAACGGTTCGGATCTAAAGCAATGGAGTGCCTGCCTATATGGTGCAGTTCATTCGGCTTTCCCGATGGAGGTTCTATGTCTTTGAATCAATTACGCATCTTGCGTGAAAATTTAGAAGAAGAAAGGGAAAAAATACTTGGTTTTAAGAAAATTACAGCAGAAGACGTTAGGGCCATACTGAAACACCAGACCTGTCTTGCCATGTGGGAGGATTTAGCTACAGAACGGGACCGCAAAAAGACGAATAAAGCCATAGCTGCTCCGCCTTCCACAGAAGGGGGGGACACACAGGCGGACACACATCCCACACACCCCCCACCCTACCGCCCTTTCTCACCTACTAACCCTTTCACAGAAGGAGCAGAACTCCATGCTAAGTACGCGCCCAAGCAAAGCGCTGTGTTAAAAAATGTGCAGACTACTGTTGTGCCCTCTCTCTCTCTCTACCCAGATTTGTCCACGCTTTCCTCCGTGGCCCCGCTGTATGAAACCGGCCCCTGTCCTACGCCTGAAACACCGCCGCGCCAGAGCCAACCACGTCAGTGCCTCACAAAGCCTCTCGCATCTGCTGACGCCCCACAGGAAGTGGGCCCCGCGCCGGCAGCAGCAGAAGGAGAAGCGCCGGAAGCAGAACCGCGATGGAGCAGGGAAACGCTCCGGCGGGAACCGAGGCCCACAGATCACTTCGTCGCCACTTTCCCCATGATAGAGATGGTGGGCCGAGAAGGACCGGCGCTGGTCTTCAGACCCTGGGGGCCGAGCGAGTTTTTATCCGCTTCGCAACTGCTGTACATATATTCCGACTAATGATGAGGACGGAGGTCTTATCCAACAGGGCATAGCCAATCTGACTAGACTCCGGGACGCCATGCAAGCGGACAATGTCACGGACACTCCTCACGGTCTGGACTGGCTCCTGTCCTCCTGGCGGAGTGTGCTCATTAATCTTGGTTTAGCCCTATTGACTGTTATGATTTTATTTTCATGTGTATTACCTATGGTGTTTCGGGCCGTTGGTAAAATGATATCCACTCACTTTGTGTCCATTCAATACAAAGACCCTGAGGCGGACCTGGCCGCTGTCCCACTGAACTCCGATCCTGATTATATCAGCGATTCGGACGACGACTTTGTCTAACGTTTTTCCTTTTTGTTTACCTTGTTTTTATTTTTCCACTTGTTTCGCCTACAATTTAGGGGGAGGGTATCACAGTGAAGAGCTTTGACCACACCCTCGTAATACAAGAGGCTTGGGTGACGGCAGCGTAGCCTGCCCATCAACAACTCTTGTTTTGCTTAGGGACCAAGGTCAAAACTCACCCACCTGAATGTGATCTCTGTAAAACTGGGGTTTCTACATTATCACGGGAGAGGAGTGTTATGGCACGTTGGTTAGCCTCAAGGACGCCAACTCACCCCCCGCTGTTCTATTCAATTAACCTGCAGGAAGGAACCGGTCTCCCCCCTGCACCGACAGACATGACGCAAATTACTATCTCACCTTTGCCCCTTTTGCATTTTGCATCTCTATCGGTCCGTATGTCTGCATCTCTATGTCCCTTTTACATTCTGCATGCCTATTGTCCCTTCTGTTTGCATCTCCACGGCACAAAGATTGTCTCTCACCAGGCAAGGCGCCCCGCCATCTGGATGCCCGTCTCAAACTGTGACCCCTCCCACCTTTTGTGGGCGTGACTGTCTTTCATGTGTTGTCTATGTAAACGGGGACCTGGGACTGGCCCCGGCAGAACTGATGTACGCTATTTTGTGTATGTGAGTTCTCCGCACGTGTGTTATAATAAACTTACGCTCCTGATTAAGACAAATACCTTTCCAGCTTTTTCCTTACTGTGGATAGAAACTTCCATGACAATACTCAATGTTGTTAAGAATTATTATTCTGAGACACAGACAGTTTCATCGACCTGAATATACTTTTCATTTTGAGAAAGTGATGCACTTTTGCAGGTTATCCACGAGGTTCTGCAGTTTGCACTAATTGTTCTGAGAAATGCACAAACTGCACAAACAAAGAGCAGTAAAGCGACTGAGAAAGACTGTAACACACTTAAAGCTGCGGTAACGCAAACTTACAACCACAAAAAATGGGTGTAAAATGTAACAGAATCTGACTCTTGATTTCACAGTGTCAATGATTCTACCTTTTTATACATAACTATAAATGTAATAATAATATAATTATAATAATAATAATAATAATAATGATCTGCTTGGGGCCCAAGCAGATCAGTCAGATACTGAGGAGCCAAACCACG